TGTAGTATGGGCAAAGCTGTGAGTAAGGGCTCAAGTGGTTATAGGCCATGAGGGTAGGTGTGCGTCACTCTACTTTCACGTCACTAATGATCAGTCAACTATGGGGCAAGGAGTGATCGTACACACATGAGAAAAGGACTCATTACTTTGAAATGTGATATTACTATATACTTGTGCAAAACTTTAGCATACAATCGATGTTGGATTAAACTCACCTCACACCTTCCCTAAATGTTGTTGATTATTTCAATACCTAAAATACTACTTCGTTGTAATAATGATATATCATGATGATGTCACTTTATAAAAGTATTAAAGTACTTATTTCACTCTCTCATACACACAGCTACTAGTGTAGGTTCGAATTTTACTAGAGTTAAAACTTAAATATTTATCAAATTAAATTGTGACTTTCTTGTAGATCATCGGTGAAGGATTAAGTTGTTAGAATCACTTAATCATCGACGAAAATCTCATCACTATGATTCACAAAGTATTATTACTAAATTTGTTGTACGAATTGTGACAAAAAGATCGCAAATTCATTAAGTAAAGCATTTCTAATTGATCGACGAACAAGTCATCATCAAGAAAAAGACAATTTGTCAAGAGATGAGTTACCACCTTTTAAGAGTGTATCGGATGTGATGAAGAACTTTCTTTTACTGTGTGGACCTGAAGATAAAGCTCTTTGACATGTGCCCCAACTGCATTTAGCTCTTGTCTATCGGGTGACAGCTACTATAGAGCAAAAAAGTCGTTATTTTTCTATTCTATTGGGTGACAACTATTGAAGATAATTCGACCATCCATTTCATTAATCCTTCTAAACATCATTTTTGTCTAAAGAAAACCTTCAAGGCTATGGACATTACATGATAATTCTCCTAAATATTCAATATTCAAGTGCATCATTGACGCATCGCCACCACGATGTCAAAACTCTATTTTTTCTACTTTCAATTTAATTTTTGCTTTATTTAGAGATAATTTGTGTGATTTAAAATTCTCAAGCTTCTCTTTATTCTATATCTCAGTCAACATTGACATAAAATGGCTCATGGTAATTCAATTGACACAAAGTGGGGATTCAAATGGTAAATCGAGAATTATATTTAAGATTTTAAGAGTAATACTAGTAGATCAGGATTCTCTTGACATAAGAAGTGATACTAGTAAGAGATTTAGTGGCATTGTTGTAAAACATCTTAAAGAGGTTTGGATACTTTTTACTAGGAGAAGAGATAAAATTTATTAATCCAAGAGAATCAAAAAATATTTTCATGTCAATCCTCTCAATATCAAAGAATGTTTTGATAGATAGATAGGTTGATACTTCAAGAGGAGACCTAACAAGCTAGACCACTACAAAAATCCTAGCATGCTTCATAATTAAAACTCATCAAAATATGAGTATTATTATTAAAAAAATACATCAAAGGTTTTAGGAATAGTTGACCCTTCTCAAATAGTTAATTCAAGCCTTCCTTCTTGATCTAAGTTCAACCTAAACATTTGTCAAAAGTAGAGTTTTACAAGGTATACTTGGTCAACTAATTTGGAGCAGCTTGTTTGTATTCCCTTCTCCCTTTTGGTTAGTATGGAGACTAATTTCAAGTATATAGCTCAACTGACCCCTTTGTAAAAAGGATGCTAAGGGGGGTTCAAGGAGAAATAATAGAGAGAGAGAACTCAAAATAGAAAAACCCTTGAGTTACACAACCACAGTAATAAAATAGTAAACTTATGAGTTCCTCATCTAACAATAATCTCTCGATTGGTTATCTCTTATAAAGCAGATGTAGAAGTTCACATTCTTTGTGACTTTGCTTTTGAAAAAAAAGAAAACAAAGATGCAAGCTGTGTCTAAAAAAAGATTAACAAAAATTAACATGTTTATCTTCTATCAAATCATCAAATTCAAGCTATTTTCTTAACAAAACAATATAAGAGCATTATTGGGGTGTATTTTGATAAAAAAATATGTCACACACTATCTTCATTGAATGAAATAAGAATTAGATGAGAAGACATTGGATATGACCAAGTCACTCAGCAATAGGTCACCTCAATGCCAAAGGAAGTAAAAGGTTACTCAATAAAATCATCTCATTAAGAAACTTATTGAGTAGAAAGTCTAGCAAAAGTTAGTGTTTCTAAAGAAGAGAGTGACAATTATGGTCCTTTTGATCAACCCATCATATCCAAAGAGGATTGCATCTTAAATTTAAACTATTGATACCATATGATCACCAATAAAAAGTTTTCATTCATAGTAAACTATTTAATGGTAACATTATCATAAATAGAAATTTATGTGCCATTTAAGACAATTTCAATTTGAATTGAAATGTTTCATGACCTTATGAGAATATTGATGAGTTAGGTATGTTCTTTTCTTAAAGAAAAAATAATCTTTTTTGGGCGCTTTTATCATTTACTATTTTAGGTATTGGGCTGAAACTAGAGTCAAGAAGATCAGCAAGAAAGCATTCACTAGTTATAGGCTTATGGGCTTTATACTGGGCTTCAAGCCCCTTGAAAACCGGGTCGGCCCATTTCCACGGATACCCCTGATCCATTGTCTGTGTGTGTGTGTGTGTGTGAGAGAGAGAGAGAGAGAGAGAGAGAGCGAGAGAGAGAGAGAGAGAGAGAGAGAGAGAGAGAGAGAGAGAGAGAGAGAGAGAGAGACAGAGAGAGAGAGGCAGAGGCATGGGAATGATTGCATCTTGATCAGAACCAATAGGTCCAGCGCCCAATCGATCGAACCCAGGTGAGCCCCTTCAGTTGACCTTGCGGCCCGAATTAATCAAAATAAAGGGAGCCATCTGATCCCAAAAGATCTGACCCAGATTGTATCAAACTCCAGCCGGGCTTACCGGTCAGTTGATCCAACGGTGAGCCCATTTAGAGTATTGGGTCAAACCAGTTCTTTGACTCAGTAATCCGAACTAAGCTGAGAGGACTCTTCAGCCCCCGAAGTCCTTCAACAAGAGAAGACGCAAGTGGAATGCTTTTATCAGATTGACCCGTTAGAGCTGAGAGGATGGCAGCAAAAAATAAGTTAATCTCTAGAGAGGATGCATACCGTTTGTGAAGAATCTTTCAAAAAATTAGCTTCCAATCCGAGAGCGATTCCTGGAGTCCGTCAAGAACCCCTCTGCTCCAAGAAGCAATCGCTCCCTGCTTTCTTAGCCTCAGCTACAAACAAAAATGGAAACCCAAATAAACAATTATAGATATATAAGTTCATCTAGCGAGAGAGAGAGAGAGAAACCATACAGTGACTGGCAATGTGCTGAAGAGAGTAGACTATCTAAAATAGCAATTCCTCCTGGAGATGAAGTCCGAAATGGCTTTAAAAAACTTTATAGGAGCAGATAATAACCAATTAGCCCAGCAAGAGGTTCAGGAATATGATTAATTAATATATACAGCCGGGACCTCACGCCTGTTAGAAATAATTTCAGCCACGTGGGCATATGAATATAACAGTCTCAATGCAAAATCTGGCGCTGTTTGACATTTTCCCCTCGTCCCGCCCATCAAAAAGTCAACGCCCAGAGGAGCATCATCATCCAAGATGCTCGATCACCGGCATTTCACGAGCTTAATCATCACGAGAAACAGACCAAAGAACGATAGAGGGGGAGGGTTTTGCGGGGCCACTTACGGTGTGCAGAAGACCGTGATATCCGGCTCTTTATGGATCGCTGACGATCCCAGAATTAGTAATAAGACTTGATTCAGTGGTGCTCCCAGATTAGAGAGCAATCCTCCCCATCTAGAGAGAGCGAGGCAGCTGTCACTAAACCATAACCTCTTCCGTGAGGGATTCAGAACCTCTCACCAGTTCCCCAATCCCACTCTAGACACAAGCTGCATCAAGGTTCAACAGACCAGACCTCACAGTTTGCAACCATATCACAGACATTCAAACGAATTATGAGGAGATTTCTCGGCAAACATGAGAACCCACCACTGCAAATTTAGTCTTCAATGTGATCTTCCCACCGATCAAATTGAGCTCATATGGTTGAGATCATCCCAGTGTTCTTTCTGACCTCAAAAAACTGTCATGAAAACACAAGGAACTTGAAGGGAATAATGAAGAACCCTACTCAGGTTTTCAACGCCAAATGCCGTAGAATCTGAAGGAATAGCCCACAAGGAACTCCAGGTCTGATCCTTGGCAGCAAAGAACCCTCCATATGAGCTATAGATTAGATCCGAGAATGAAGGTGGCAAATAGATCACCCATGGGTATCAGTTCTCACGGCAGTAATTTCGCCTAAAGCTGTGCTGTGCTAAAGTCATCCAGGGCAGTTTCCATTTATGCCCAACAATCAGCGCCTGGTGCACTGTCAGCTAGCGTGCAGCCTTCCTCCTTTTTACTGCAGATACCGTGCATCATATGCATATCGGATACAGTAGGGTTGTGAAGAACAGGAGCTGAACCACAGCTTACCTCAGGCCTATGCTCAGATAAATCTCTGTCATTCCACGGCTTATTATTAAGCACAGCGGCCCCGCTGACAACTGGAGAGCAAGGAAGAACAGGAGTATCAACAGGATACGCACCAGGAAGATGGCCGTTGACTTGGCTCCGAATTTCAACAGCACCACAAGCAGGATCCTCAGTTTCAGGCTCAGTTGACGGCACTATGCAGGAGGCGCATTTTCCATTCTCTTCATCACGTGAGTCAGTATCACATTGAATGGAGGATTCCCCATCCGGAGCAGTCTCCAAGGGCTTGAGCCCTATTTCTCCAGCCCCAGATCGACAAGGTGCATCACAGGATGGATCTGAAAGTTGATAGGACACTTTGGCGGTGGCCTGTGCAGAACCATGGAGTTCAGAGAAACCAGATTCATTGACCACAGTTTCATCTTTGACCTCTCCGGGATCATGAGCAGCAGAGGATTCATCGGGAACCAATGATGCATCATTTAGAACAGGAACTGCAACGATATCAATGATCACACAGGGGGGGTCAATCTCAATTTTTGGAAAGGAGATGGAGAAATTGACCCATGACAATGCCACTGAGGATTTTACCTCCCTGGACAGGTGCGCAACTTTCCTGCCTCAACAAATGCTTCTGCAACAGACCTGTGCCGGGGAAGACCAGCATATTCATGTTCCTTATCTCTTGCATGTCTGAATCGCTGAGGGGCTCAAAACCAAACGCCACAGTCCACGTGTGCATGAGCTCAGATATTGCAGGTATAACCAGCTTTTCGATTTTAAGGGAGCCAAGAGCCTGAAAATCGAGCAAGGTACAAGGTATTAGGAGCGTGCTCCAAGAGATATCAAGGAGAAATGAATGCGAAAAAGCGGAGGGTATAAGAGTATGGGGACAAGGAAGAAGTCAAGGGGACGAAACGAATGGGAGCAAAGGATGCTAACAGAAACAGAGAACCCTGAAACCTGTCCCCAATTAGTGGGAAAGTATAGCCAAAGTACACCGGAAGTAACCAATGAAACCAGCACACAGCCTTCGATTGAATTCCACCTCTATTCATATACGTTTCTCAATGTAGGTAATGAAGTATTAGAGAAGGATGATCTCATCCAAACACCGCGCACATGTAACCAACCTAATCGAACAGTCCCTGCACCTTACACTGCAAATTAAGTGCTGAGTGACCTTCACAGAAATTCAGTTACAAAAATAGCATGACAAATTAAATATTTTCTACTCGAATTTCCATCAGCCCACTTTCACCAGTTATTCTGAAGATGAGAAAAACCCGGTGTAATGCAAGGAGTTTGATCAAATTGCTAGTCAACTGGGCCTAAATGGCGCAAGATACTCTTGCCTATGGTCAAACAAATTCTTCATTTCGAACATCTCTTTTTTTCTATGGAGAAGAGTTGACGATATCAAGGGTACTTCTATCATTTCAAAACATTGCTAGGCAGAATAACCTCTATTACCTCCTCAATTGCATTTAGAAGCCTTCGGCACATTCCTTGGCGCCTATAGATGTGACGAGTGCCAATAAATGGCATCTCTGCGAGCCTCTTTCCGTGAATTCTGTTCAAAAAGCACAAACAATTAATCACTCATTAAAAATGTACACTGGACCCAGAGTATTAGGCGAATCTAATCAACAATTTTCAAGAACCTCAACTGCATTTCTTCAAAGAAGATAATGCATATTTTAATTTCAAAATTACACCTCGAAAATGGTGTGTACCCACAAGTTGCAGAGCCTGCATCTTTAAGATGGTATGAATGATCCGGTACATACGAATTACATTTGTCGAAGACAGCAGTTTTGGTACCACAATCATTCAAGCTCGTAGGAAGAAGTCAGTGATCAGGGACTTGAGATATGGTCCTATTAACGTAAGTATAGACAAGTGATGATAGCTGATATCTGTATTTATATTTAAATGTATATGGTTTAAACCGATTCCAGCCTGATTAGAGGATATTTGAAAACGATTGAGGTTTGATCACATCCGGTCACAAAGCATGTGTTCAATTCCGAGCCATGAGGGTAGCAAAAAGGATGAAAAAATGCAGCCCCATACCTGATTGATGCTGCAGAGAGAATTTCATCACCTTGTTCCAGAATGAAAGTATAAAAACCCTGATAGTCAAGCCTACTGAAATTTGATCTGCAAAATATGAACAGAATACTTGGTTAAATGCATCACAAATGGTACACACCAGTCATAATCTATCAGATCAGTAAGCACTTAGAATGTAAAGGAGATCCAGATGACAGCAAACGCAAATACTAAACACAATGGGAAGGCATTTTAATTTTTACAGACTAGAAGATTGAGAAAACCTAGGCTGAGATAACCACATCTGCCGATATTTGTGGTTTGTTTCTGAGATAGAAATAATGGCTCCCAATGTGGCATTGCATTAAAACAGTCAAATAGATTTGAAGGGCAGCAAAGATACACAGCACCATGAAAAAGGGTGATTCGTTGATCATTCCCGTCCTTCCATTTCCTTTGCCACAGTTCATTATTTTCTGTTGGCACCTCCATGGGACACATGTCAGATCTGTCCCTGTGGGACTGGCCGGGTCTAGGTGGCCCACCGAACTGCCTTCCTTACAGGTTAAGTTTCCTTCACAATTTCCCTTCGCAATAGTGAAAAATAGCAGGAAGATACAATGTATTCTTCTCCAAGAGAAAGTCTGACAAAGGTTGTCTTCAAGTTCAAGACAGAACCGTTGCACAATTATAACATCAGAACAAAAAATGTATTTAGAGAGAAACACAGAAGAGGACGTGAAAAAACTAGCATTAGAATCAAAGGAACATGTTAATGCAATGGATCAATATAACTGACTAATACAAACTACAGCTGAATATTGATTTTGCATTTTTGAAACATAAAATATGAGAAGGGAAACCATTCCGGTTGTGGTGAAAACTTTATCTCAGGATAACCAAAGGGCAAACAATGTAACATTGCATTACATTATGCCAGATCAAAAAAGATAGTTACGATAACATCATGGTAGTAGAACGGTTATTTTTATACGAAGCATCTTAGGACAGACAATACTACCAGCAGTTGTAAACTTTTATCTCATGATACCAAGGATGAAGTACTTAGTTATTGATGCCGTACAACAATAGAAGAATTCAGCATATAATGCCGTGCATGTGCAGTTTGTGTTATTTTGCTATTTCATAGAAATGACTATTAACTTAAAGTAATGTTTCAGGCATACTCACCCACAATTGTATAGGACATTGGTTATCAAGTTTATGCCACTTCTTTGGTCAATAATGGGCAGAAAGCACTCATCCATCACTGAAAGCGCAACAGCTATCTTGGAATTGCATTCTACCCTTTGAGCTAACTCAGAACAGGATTCTAGAGAATCATCATAAAACCGCCGTACAAGAGTCCACGAAAAACCACCTTCCAAGTCGTTTTTAATACCAATAAGATTCTGAAGCTGCTCGAAGAGCTGAAATAATCAAAGATCACGTCAGTGAAAATGCTGCTTCAAAGAAAATATAATAAAATAAACTTAATTTTCAGGGGGCCCAGATACTCTGGTGGCAAAGGAATAACGAGACATTTTGGTATTGACCATGAGAAATGTTTACAATTAACTACAGTTGTCAAGGTGGACTGGATCATCAAGGCTAAACGGAGCTAAACAATCTACTATAGAATGTCCATATTGAACATGAATGACTAAGCGGGGATGCGACACAAGCAACAGCAGCCGCAATCCAGTGATTACTCTGAAGGTACAAGTTCAACCATCCATAGCAACACCTCTCAAACAGGCCGAGATCACATTGCAGTCCAGTTGCATACCAAGATTGGTCAGAACTCAAAGTAACATAGCTGCTCTAGAAATGGGACCGCAAATCCCAGAGAAAAGTGAGATGACGAATGTCGAAGTAATTATAAAATATAGAGAGTTGAGAATTTCTAAACCTACGACAACTCATTTGATACGAAACAGTGATAATATATCCAAGCAATTTTTTCATGAATTTCATTTCGGTCCCACTTTATTTCGGCTTGAGTATGCAGGAATAATGAAAGCTACTAATAAGCAATGCAAGAATGTGTACGTCCAGTGTTCAAAATGTTACACATTTTGGAATTGAAATTCAATGGCGAAATCACCACGAACCATCACTTGTTTTATAAATCCGATGTTGCTAGTTTGTTGCTTCAGAACAAATGCAAATAATTCTCCACACAGATATATATATATATATATATGTAGATATGTATAAAGATAGATAGCTGGATAGCGAGAGAGAGAGAGGATAAAGAGATTAGTTGATAAAACATGAAGGCCTTTTCCGGTGTGTTGTAAAAGATATCACAATGCAATTCGTCTTTGTGGTTCCATCAAGCTTAAAAAGAAAAATAAATAAATTAACGAAGGTATTCTGCCAAGTTCAGAGATCCACAGGAGTTCACGACTCTAATAAATTAGAGAAATTCGAGTGAGAACACCAGAAGAAAAAAAATGCCATGCAAAGAAGAAAGTTTAGCTAAAAAACAAAACAGATAAATGAAATGATACCATTCTGCAGCTCTGCCCACAAAAGGAAAGGCCCAAATGATTTGTGTTAACAGGTGCTGCATCAAGGTCTGGCATGCAGACTTGATGATCTGCATGATACAACAATAATTAGCATCCTTCGTTCTCAAAAAACTCAGGAAGAAGCATGGAATAAGTAAAATGCTGACATTTTTCCCCGCACTGTCCGCATGAAAGCAACAAGGAACCAGTCAGACTGTGGCCATCCGAAGTATTACTATCAGCTCGCCCACAAAATCTACACAAACAGTTCATACAGTGCCAGTCACCAGGAGGAGGCGTCTGCAAATAGGAAAATCGAGGGAAGTTACTACAATGTATGAATTATTTCTAAAATATTCAACTAGAATACTGTGGGAAAAAAATGCCACGGGGCTAAGACATTTTTAAGCAACTCGGGTTTCAAAATAATATGCATGTGTTGTGGAAAAAAATGACAAGAGGAAAAATAAGCATTCTAATTTTTCTGTGACTCAATTACGTAACTGTGTTTTCTTATTTTCTCCATTTTTTTCCGTAGTAGTTGGCGCATTTTTTAAGGCTGATAGAATAGTGAAGTTTAGAAAACATGTGCATTGCCTCACCCCTAGGGAAAAGACTGGGCCTAAAAAGGAACACTAAAACACGTGACCGTGAAGCATAAGGTCATTATGTCACGCTGACTGCTTATTGAGCAGTCGCGAGATTCCAAATTTACCCTTCAAGCGGAGCCACCATGCGTAAGCCCAACTATATTAGAATCAATACCTACAATACCAGAAAGCCATGCAACATCATCAACGATACTCACCTCTCCATTGGTCTTGAACCCTAAAATATTGTTCAAAGAATGGAGTATGAACAAAGAGCATGAGCACGTAAATGAATTTCCTCAATGACGTCAAAGAAACATTTAAATACAGAGGCAAAATCAATCCTCATTTTCCGGTCTGGGAACTTACCTGAATACCTAAGCAGCTTAGATGAAAGGTTGCAGGGCAACTATCACAACATATTAGATTGCCACCATCTCCACAGATTCCACATGTATCATCATTGGGATCTTCATCAGTGACACGTACCAAATGGGATGGACATCGTTTAGACTCTTCTTGCTTCTTCCAAGCATCCAGTTGGCATTCAAGAAGTGAAATCCCTAATCCTTCTAGAAATATGTTTTCATAAGGCTGTTTCTGTTTGCTCCCAGCATGAATCTCGAATTTTGAAACTGTAAGAGTTTTGCTACAACATTTGCAAAGTATGCCATCCCTTGTAACTAAGCCCTCCAACATTACCCATGTACGCCTTTTGTTCATGTACTTGACCTTTCCATTCAAAGGAACAGTTCCCGAATCCAGCAGCCATGCCAAAACAGAACGTCTTCCTGCATAAGGAACATAATTGTCACCCTCTGAATCTGTCTCTTGATTAGCATTACGAGCTAACAATGCACATCCTCTTCGATTTTTGTTTTTCTTCCTGCTTGAACCAACAATACCATTTTCGTTTATTTCCTTTTTCACTGCCACAACCTTCTTCATTTTAGCAGATTTAGAGCTGGTCACACACTTGGTCTTCTTACTCCCCACAAATTTTTCAGCTCCAATAAATCTTCTATTCTTAACTATTTTCCTCTTCAGTATCCCAAGCATATCCGTTGGTATGACAGAAAACTGATCTGTTAACTCATTACTATTTCCAGGACACCCTTTCTTGTTACCCAGCTCGTCAATCTTGTTTATTTGTTCCTTAAGAACACCATATGCCTTGGTGATTGACCAATAACCTATTCCCTCAGGAGAAACATAAACAGAATCTTCATATTTTTTACCCTTGCGGCGTTTCATTTCAATTTTCCAGCCAGCACACAGTAGCATGCCCTTGATTTGATCCCGCAATGTCTGCTTCTCAGTCCTACGACTTGCACTTTCAGGTAACGTGTCATTTTCAGACGAAAGAGGAGCTTTTGTCATGACTCTGCTAGCCTCTGTAACATTATAACCAGTGTTACAGAAGTCGTTTTCATCATCTGATTCTATATTTGGGGGCAGAGAATCATGCATGTTAACCTTACTTTCATCTGCTGAAGAAAAATTACTCAGCCTCATTTGACTCTTCTGCAACTTCAAAGGGCTTGATTTCTTGAGGTATTTTTGGTCTTTAGAAAGAGAAGGGGATGGTAATGAGCCTCGAACAGTGCGGCTACTGGATGGTAGTGAGCCTTGCTTCTTGAGTGTTTTCTTATCTTCTGTAGGGAAATACTGCTTCTGTGGTCTCTTCTCAGAGCAACGAGAATTTCGCGGACTCTTTCTAATTTTATCCGTTACAGAAGAAGAGCCAAGCTTCTTGAGAGATTTTCTGCCTTCAAAAAAAGAAGAACCCTGTTCAGCATTAATAGGCTGTCCTGCACTGCCATTAATCTTCTTGTTATTGCACAACACCTTCTTGGGTGTCTTTATATCTTCTGAAGGCAAATAACGTTTCAGTCCTCTCCTCTCAGAGCAGCCAGAATTCTGCAGACTCCTGGTTTTATCTGTTTCTGAAGAAGAACCTAGTTTCTTAATAAACCCTGTGTCTTCAAAAGAGGAAGAATCCTGTTCTGCACCAACAGACTGTCCTGGGGGGGCACTTCCTTCTGACGCCTTTTTCACAAATATTTCATCTTGGTCCTTAAACTTCTCGTCATTGTGCAAAACCCTAATACCTCTGCCATCACCGGAAACACTACATTGCCGGGCATCAGAAGAGGAGACGCCATATTTCGCTGTTTTAAGCATCTTTGGACTGGAATGTTCTATTACAGCTCCTGGACATCCATTCCCTTCTAGACGTGCCAGGATTGGTCTTTTGGTCAAACTCCCATCATCCTCTGCGGCTTGCCTCGGGCCTGGAACTCGACTGGCCCTGATCAAAGCCTTTCCGATGCTAAATCTTACTGAATCCAGACTAACCTTCTTCGCGTCAGACCCATCGCTCTTATCCTTTTCAGCATTCAAAGGGTGCAATCTGATTTTCTTAATGGGCATTGCATCATCCTCGAAATCTTCCAGAGACAAATCATGAATCATCTTCCTCTCCATCGCTATGCTTCTATTTTTTTCCAAGTCATTGGTGTCGTTCTGGCCACATCTTTGCTTCTCTGGTCGTAAAATGCTCTTCACTTTGACTCCAGTCCTCTCAGAGGTTTTTGGCGAGTGAAGGGTACCATACTCGTCAGTTGCATTCCTCGGGTGTCGCAGAGAAATCAGATATTCATCAGACTCGGAATTACTCGGTATCAACCTTCCCCTCGCCCTTGCCTCAAAATCCTTCAATTTCCTGGACAAACCGCTACCTTGTCCAGCTCCATCGAAATGCACCTTCCCTGCAGGCGTTCTTTTCGCTGCTCCCATGGGCGGCGAATCCCCTGATCTCCGGACGTCCCTCATATTCCCAATCAGAGTCTCGGAACCTGGGTTAACAAAACCCTAACTCCCAACTCCCGAAGCCATAAAAGGATGTCTCGAGTCCATCGACAAAACCCGCAAAACAACCCAACATTATTCAAGAAAAATAAACCCAAATCTCAGCCTCCGGCACCGTTCACCGAATAACCAAATCCTCAACCAGCTCGGATTCTCAATCCAATTCGCAAGAAAGAAGAAATTTCTCTAACCAGGGAACGACGCGAGGCGAAGATCCCGAGACTGCCTCACAACAGAACGAGAGGCAAAATCGGACGAAAGCATCCGCAGTGGCTCCTCCCTTCCCGCAAATTGGAGCAGTTCGACTCGCTCGGCTCCCCCTAGACGACCTCCGGCAGATCCTACCAACCGATTCCAGCCACCATCCGATACCAAGAAGATCGACGATGACAACAAAAGGGCCTCGGCCCCTCCTCCACCTGCCCCCTTCCGTGGATGCCGCCCCAACTCCGGGATCGAGGCAGGGAAGAAGCAGGGCCCCGCATTTATATCTTTTCTTCCCCCCCTCCTTGTTTAACCCCCCCCCTCCCCGCCCCTCTGTCTCTCCTCCCACCCCTCTCTCTCTCTCTCTCTCTCTCTCTCTCTCTCTCTCTCCTGTGAAAATTCACTCCAAACGGGCAATTCTGTCGCCAGTGCTAACTAAGACGACGAGTCCATCTAGGAAATCCGAACCGTTAATTAAATAGGATATGAGTATCCAACGGTCACAATCGAAGGTTTTATAGGGCCGTAACGACACTCGTCCCTCCGAGCCCCAACTGCGGGGACGAGTAACTCGCAGGATCTGGAAACCGCCCTGAGGAGTGGCGACCGGGTCATCGACTGACGTGGACCAACGGAATGTCGCCAAGTGGCGCTTTAACACGTGGAAAATGTTATCTCATGGGCATGCTCACAAGCAAGAAGGTTAAATATGTAAAAGAAATTGTATCAAGAATTTATATATAATTTACCATCAGCAATATTTCCGTCCTGTATCAATATTTTTAATTATGCCCATTTTTCTTTCTGAAGCTTCGCAAGGGGTGGGTAGGAGAGAGAGGAGACGATTATGGGCCGGCTTTGGGCAAGTAGGCCCAATAAGAGAAGCGGATGTGAGACTTTCTATATCGGTTTCGATCTAGGCTCAGTCTTAGGTTTCGGTATTCCGTACTGAATCCGATAAGAAGGGAAGCTGAGGGGTGCAACTCCTCATTGGGATCGTGAAGCCGTTTGTCTATCAGTAGAAACCCTAACCCTAATTGCTCCTCCTCCCCTGCATATGAAGAACCAGAAGACGCAGGGGAAGGGGCCGTCGCAGAAGCCCCATCCGTCTTTGACGGGCTCGGGTTCCAACCGCAGGCCCCGCTGGGAGACCTCCGAATCGAAGGGGCCGTCCTCTAGCGCCGGCGACAGTAGCAGGAAGCCCAAGGATGAGGGCAACTCCTCTGACCGTAGGGCCTCGAATAAAGCCTCCGCCGCCGCAGCTGCGCCGAAGTACGATGGGAGATTTGCTGTGGCCGCGGGGGCGGGGCTGTCGCCGGGGCCCGGTGGTCATCCTATCCCGCCGCCGGCTGGGGATTCCCCGTTCCGGTTGCTACAGGATCCTGCCGGTCCTCCGCCTCCCCCGCCGTACGGGTTCCAGAATCTTGAACGGCGCACGATCGTTCTCGCCGACGGCAGTGTCCGCTCCTACTTCGCATTGCCGCCCGACCCGCCGGTGGACCCCGCCGCCGACAGGTTTTTGCCCTTCGGCTCCCGTGGGCTCCCGAGGCCAGAGGCTGGTGTGGGATTAGGGTTGGAGAAGCATCACCTCGGGCCACAGGGGCCGCGGTTTAGCCCAGAGGAATTCCGCGAACTGCCATCGTATGGACGCGGCGGTGGACCTCAGCACGATTATTGGGCATCCTTGGGGCTTGATGGTTCCCGGGTTTTGCCGGAGGGTGCATCCTCGCTGAAGAGGAAGTATGGGGAAGAAGATGACCTTGCATGGCATAGGAAGCACGTTATGCATTATGGGAATCCCAATGCCAACGTAGTTGGTTTCCCGCCCGGTTCTGGAGACCGAGCGGATTTTCTGGGCAGATCTGGTAGCCCTCGCAGGGACCATCTGGATGATGTGCGACTCTCAAAGCATGCAAAGCTTGGAGGGGACGCATATGACCACTTTTCTCACAGACGCAGAGGCGACGCTGATGCGTCTTCTGTGGTCATTGATGTGAATCCTGATGTCTTGAATAGGGCATTTCTTAGGTTTTCCAAGACGATCAATGAGAATGCATCACTGAAAAAGAACTTCTTGGAGAACGGGAAGAACGGGCCTCTGTCTTGCCTTGCATGTGGCAGGTTTGAAACCAGCGAATAGTCTTCATAACCGTTTGGTTTTCTAATTATAAAAATTTGTGGGTAATTATAAGGTAGAGCTTTCCAGTGGAATCTAATTACATGGCTTATTTGCAGATTTCCTGCACTTTTTATCTGAGGCATCTTAAAGCCCTTTTTAGTTTTTAAATTCTGATGTTGGAATAGTTCAATGATGCTCATTAAAACCTTTGTTTCGCTGACCTTTATGTGACTGTGTTTGTTAGTTGTTTGTGTATGATATGTTTGTTCTTTGATTTGTTGGCTATGTTCATTGAATGTGCTGGATAATGTTTAGGACTAGTTTGATCTGAGACATGATTGTCCGGATGATTAGCATTTATGACGGAATTACATTGCAGCCTTCGTTATCTGTTTAATATTTAGGTAAACTTTTACCATAAAAAGTGGGAAAATCCTTTGTTAGGTTTCTTATTATTGCTAACAACGGTTATACATTAGGTGAGCACTGACCAGAATTCATTGCCATGGAATGGGTTCAAGTTTACATGTCTATAAAGACACTTAATTCATTCATTCATTTTTTTCTGGAGTTTGATCCACGTCAGATGATTTTTACGGAAATGTACCCTTATAAGTACCAAACAGTTATGCTTGTCTCAAATTGAAACTTTCATTGAACAAACCCTATGGGACTTATTTGGAGAAAAATGGATTGCTGCCTTTGTTTACATTGACTCTCTGTTGCTTATTGTAGTATGACTGGCCAGGATCGTGTGGTTCTTGCATCAGGGGTTCAGGTTTGTGTCGGTTCATCTATTTTCAGGTTGTTGTATTGGGGTTTTCAGGATTAATTTTCCTACTGCTGGGCTGGTTGGAATGGTTAGTTTGTTTATGGCTTTTCATGAGAAGTTCACCTAATGTTGATAGATGTTCTTTTGCCTGTAATCACAGGGGTAGAGTGTAGCTCTGAAAAATATTGTGTTGTACTTTTTCTAAATTTCAAGCGGATTGAGTTACGTGGTGAGATTTATGGAGAGGATGCCTGCCAAAATGTTACTGGATGTTGTATTTCTGCATGTTCTTTGCGGTAGAATTTTTTTCCTGATATTTAGTTGATTAATGATTTTCCGTTAGCTTGTTGCTACTCTCTGTAGATTTTTTGCAGATGATGTGTTGACTTTAAATTCATGTTGTGTCGTGCATGGTTCTTTGGTTGCGAAGTTAATCTTTTCAGGACTCCTTTTGTAAACGGTGTTTCTTTTCTTTCTGTTAATTCCTTTATTCCTTTTATGGAATGTTTTTGACATCTGGTGACGCGACAGACCATATTTGTGTGTCATAGAAGCTGTGTTTCGTGAGATGTTTGCTGTTTGTGAGAGATAATTCCCTGAAACGTGGTTTTGTTGTCTGTTTCTTGTGGGTTTTTGGATTTGTTCCTTTCTCATTGTGTTATGAGCGCGGTTCTTTTTAGTAGGGTGATGTGAGGTTGGCTATGGTGACGAATGCTGCAGTCTATACATGTTTTGATATATTGAATGAGCGAAGTTCCAGACCAAATGTCCAAGTCATCCGGTCCACTTAGTAGATAACATTAGGGAAATGACAATGGAGCCTATGCAGACGCTATCTTGAGCTATCTGGTCAGTTTGGGGATGATCATGGTATCACCTGGGCAACCAGGCAGGTTTGGTTGCGCAGCACGGGCTGTTTGCGGCTGAATTTAAATAGCTCATCCCAGTCCAGTGCAGCATCTGATGAAAGACCATCTGTAACTGGTTTTGGTAGACTGTGGGCTCCTAAAACCTGCAGCTCACCAGTTATTGATTGGGGATGCTGTGGCATCTGAAGCAGGATTACAAGAAGTTATTAGGATAACCAGCAGCAGTTGCCAGATAGCACATCCTTTCGAAGGTAGCTATCTGGGGAGGCAGAATTTTATCTTTTATGGGGATTGCTCCCTCGCTCTTTGAGCTTCGCAAGGAACTTTCCCATGTGTGTGGAAAATCTTCATCGTGTGATGTCTGTAACTGTTGGCGCTCTCGGTACTGTAGCTCCTGTATCATCCAATGCATGATATTTTTTTTCTATGATATTATTTTTTTCTCAATTTCTTTCCTTTCACTATTAATTGATTTGTAAATCAGTCTGGGTTAAGTGCACTGTCTTCTCGTCGAAGATAGACAGAGCAGTTTGTCACTGTTTGGTCCTTTGTAAATCATGAATTTATGTGTCAATAACTCTTTTTCTTGGAGTTCATATCAGAGAGATTTCGTTGTGCTGTATTGAGGAAAAGGGCATTAGTTATTTCCGGGTTGATATTGATTTTCCCCCTTATATTGATCATGGGTTTGTGCATATTTTCTATTAACGAACTTTTTCTATGGTTTATAGGTCAGAAGTTTGTGTATGAAATAGTGGAATTTGGCTTATTCTTGAAGCTTACATCTACGTTTCTACTTTATAATTCAGTAGTATAGTAATGCAAATTTTATGCTATGAGAAAGGCCATTGACTGCAAGTAGGGAAGAAATAGTGTCAGCACATATATATGGAGCTTTTAAGGTGTATATGAAGATTGAAAATGAGCTAGGTGTTCTCATTCTCTCATAAAATGTCCATTTCATCGTAAAGATATCATGTTTTTGGTTTCTGCGAATATAAGATGAGAAGTTGATCTTTGAATTTATTCTATTTTTTATTGGGTGCTGCTGGGTAAACCCAAAGTCCAGATTTCTTGTCTATTGGTAATTAGTCAGAAGAGTACTTCGATAATCGAAAGTTATATTGGGTACTGAGGCAGTATATTTTACTGGAGTTTATTTTTTATGTGGTCTTAATGATGGGTGAATGTATCAGCTAGATGGTAGTGCACCTGTTCAATAACTGTACATGTAGTTATTAATGGCGTAGTTAATTTTGCAGCTGAATGACCAACTTCGACATTATTGCATTTGATGATAGCATCTGATGGTTTTATGTGTTTATTCCTTTCGAATTCATGTCTTTTCTGCTCTGTCCTCTGTTCTTCTAGAAAGAACGTTAGCGTCAGTGACAAAAGGTTAAGAGCAATGCTGGTTTTAAAAATCTTGCAAGCAGACAGATGTGTGTAATGAGGGTTGGAAGGGCTCGTTTTCTTTGGGAGTAGTAGGAAACAATATCATTTTTTAATTAGTGGAATTTTGTAATCTTGTTTTAACACTGTTTTTTTATTTTTTTGGCGTGCCATTTTCAGGGTATCCAAGGAGTTTGGTGATATGCATGCACTCGTCATGCATACATACTATTCACAGAATGCAGACCTGCGTGTTGATCACCTTGGTTTGCATAAGGCATTGTGTGTTCTCATGGGATGGAATTTTAAGAGGCTACCTGAGACTTCCAAGGCCTACCAATCACTATCTGCTGAGGCTGCCACAGAAAATAGGGAAGATTTGATATTGTGGCCACCAATTGTCATTATTCATTACACTAGTTTTGGACAAAGAAAAAAAGATGGACGCATGGAGGGTATGGGAAACAAAGAGTTGGATAATAAACTTAAAGGTATCCTGATCTGGTCTCTCCTCCGATTTATATTTTGTTTGCAATTTCTCATGTCATTGTATCCGTGAGTCGTTAACTTGCTGGATTTTATTTATAGATGTTAATCCACTAGTACAATGAATGCTCTTATCTTTGTTTTCTGCATATTTTTCTGCTGGTTATCTTGTTGGATAGAGGCTCATTACTATGGCAATAAGAGCATGATTAGTTAGCACTGGGTGTGGTTGATGCAGATCATTTCAATTATGCAGTAATTTCCTGTAGATTATGATGGCAATAAGAACAGGATTAGTTAGCACTGGGTGTGGTTGATGCAGATCATTACAATTATGCAGTAATTCCCCGTAGATTATGATGGCAATAGGAACATGATGAGTTAGCACTCGGTGTGGTTGATGCAGATCATTTCAATTATGCAGTAATTCCCCGTAGATTATGATGGCAATAGGAACATGATGAGTTAGCACTCGGTGTGGTTGATGCAGATCATTTCAATTATGCAGTAATTGCCTGTAGATTATGATGGCAATAAGAACATGATTAGTTAGCACTGGGTGTGGTTGATGCAGATCATTACAATTATGCAGTAATTGCCTGTAAATATGATGGCAATAAGAACATGATTAGTTCGCACTGGGTGTGGTTGATGCGGATCATCTCAATTATGCAGCAATTGCTTGTAGATTATTATGATGGCAATAAGAGCATGGTTAGCAATAATTCTGTAGAAATTTAATGGCGATGGCTAGCTGGATTCTGGACATCTTGGTAGATCAGTATCGTGTGCTCATTTTGGTGCAGTAAACCGAAGAACTGGAATGCTTAGGGTTTTTCTCTTCCATTGGCTGGGGTTTCACCTCGAAGCTCTGGATTTAGTTGCAGAGGACGATGATCTATGATCTCGTCCGAAGCCGGCTCCGTCCGAGGGTTTCGCCTTCTCCGATTCGATGCCGGTTCGTTGTCTGACGAGGTTTCTCCGCAGATCTGGGATTCGGCGGCGGAAGGTCGAGGACGATGATGAACGGGAAGGAGGGAATACCATTTGGCACGGCGGCGGTGAGGTTTGCCGGCGACCGGGACGGCCTCCGGGAGGCGGAGCAGCTGGCGGAGCTCCTGGAGAGGGACGGCTGCGGGCGCCGGAGCTGGGCGCGCATCTCGCAGGGCAGGCGGCGGCCGGAGGAGGGGAAGGAAGGGGAGGCGGCGGATGGGAGGATCCTCCTCTACGGGTACCTGGGGATCGCCGGCGACATGGACGAGCTCGACGCGGAGACGAAGAAGAAGGCCGTCCTCCACAGCCGGAGGGATTCCGCCGGTAAGTAGCCAGCCTCTTCCTCCTCTCCTTCCATGTCTTCCATTGACTCCCTCTCTGGGTGATGGGAAAACTGATCTTTGCCGTGGGGATCGTTATATGTTGTATATTGATTTATTTAATGGCCCTCTCTCTCTCTCTCTCCTTGTTGGGTCTCCCTCTCTTTCTCTCTCTCCTCTTGTCTTCGGTATGCTGTCTTTCATGTGATTGCCGCTTTATGGGCCTGGAGAGAAGCCCAGAAGGTGAGCTCCAGAACCGGCCTAAAACGAACCCAAGATTCGGCAGAAATCGGCAGCCACGTGGCTGCTCATGATTAGCCACGCCCTCCCCACGACAGCTTTCCCTCCACTACTACTTTTTTCTCTCCGATCGACCTCCCCGTTGCGGGGGAGGGAGAGGGTTAGGGTTAGCGTTTCTTCCTTCCACGCCGTCCCCGACCAACCCCGGCGGACTAATGGCGTCGGCGGTGGCTGCCGGAGGTGGTGGCAGCTCGTCGTCGGTTCTGCGGGCGAGCTTTGAGGAGCTAGAGAAGGAGCAGGCGCTGATCTCCGGCTGCACTCTCCTCTGGAAGGAGCTCACCGATCACTTCTCCTCCCTGGAGAGGGACCTCCGGATCCAGTCGGAGGCTCTTCAGTGCCACCTCCAGGCTCTCGATCGCGTCACAGAGCAGTCCCTCGACGCCCTCCGCCGCCGCGAGGGCTCCATCGACGCTGCCGTCGACCTAGCCGTCGCCAGATCAGAGCAGCGCCGCGACGCCGCCATCGCCACCGTGCGTGGAAGTGCCGCCGATCCTCCGGCCGCGGCCGCCGGCGAGGAGCTCGCGGTGGCGCTGCGCGCGCTCTGCACGACGATGAACTTCAATGGATTCTACAAGCTTCTTTCTTCCAAGCGGAAGGAGGTGGAGATGATCCGGCATGATCTCCCCTCCATCCTGTCTGACTGCGTCGATCCGGCGAGATTCGTCCTGGATGCGATCTCCGCCGTGTTCCCCGCCGGGAACGGGAAGATCGCCGGCGATCTGGGATGGCTGTCTGTGATGATCTTGGAGGCGTTGGTCCCGGCGGTGGCGGATCCCGATCTGGGGCCGGCGAGACCTCTGATCACGCCGAGCATGAAGGCGCGAGCCATGGAGATCGCCGCCGCCTGGAAGAACGGTGGCGGCGTGGAGAGCGCCAAGCCTTCGGATGTCCACACCTTCCTGCAGCTTGTGGCGACGTTTGGGATCGCAGGCGAGGAGAGGGAGTTCTACCGGAAGCTCGTGGTGTCATCGTCTTGGAGGAAGCAGATGCCGAAGCTCGCCCTCTCGCTCGGTCTCTGCGGCGTGATGCCTGGTACCCCCTCCCCGTCTCCTATTCTGACATGATTTTTTCTTCCTTTCCCAATTCTCGTTGCTCAGATTTTGAACTGCTTCGTTCCTTTTACTTCCCTCTCTCTGTTCTTCCATCGTTAGAAATCTCTCCGACACGAGGGATTTCCTAAGATTTCTTCCTCCCCAATTCTCACAGCTCAGATCATGAACTCCCCCATTTCCTTTTCGTTTCTCTTTGTTTTCGATTGCTAGAAATCTCTGTGATATGAGGGATTAAATTTGGGATTTCCAGAGGTTATGCTGCCAGAATTATCCGATGCAACTCAGATTATCATGATAAGGCGGAGATTTCCGATTTCCTGTACTGGAGACAATATGAGAAATCCTGGAGAATCAACGCTCCAGTTCCTGGGGGGGAAATTCGTAGTATTTTTATACGATGATTTAAAAGGAGATTTATTTATTTATTTTCCATTTGCAGAGATTGTCGAGGAACTGATTAGCAAGGGCCAGCAGCTCGACGCAGTCAACTTCGCCTTTGAAGCCGGTCTGGAGTCCAAGTTCCCCCCCGCCCCTCTGCTCAAGGCTTTTCTCCTGGAATCCAGGAAGCCGGTACGTTGACCTCTTTCCTCTCTCTCTCTCTCTCTCTCTCTCTCCCCGTTATCCTCTGGGCAACGCCTTCAGCTGAAGAGTAAGTTGACCTCTCGTCCCACTCTTTTTCTCTCTTCATTGTGCTCTGGTCAACATCTCCTAGATTCCAGGAAGCCGATACGTTAACCTCTTTCCTCTCTCTCTCTCTCTTCGTTATCCTCTTGTCAACGTCTTCAACTGAAGAGTGAGTTGACCTCTCGTCCCACTCTCTCTCCATTTGTCCTCTGGTCAACGTCTCCTGGATTCCAGGAAGCCGGTGCGTTGACCTCTTTCCTCTCTCTCTCTCTCTCTCTCTCTCTCTCTCTCTTTTTCTCTCTCTTCTCTGTGTGCTCTTACTCGATGGGGATGCTCTTGAGGTGCTCCAATACCGGAATTTTACTGAGGTTGGTGGGTGGCAGCGGGCGGCGCTGCGGGCGGTGATCAAGTGCGTGGAGGACCGGAAGCTGGCGGCGGAGCTACCCCCGGAGGCCCTGCACCGCCGCCTGGAGCAGCTCGAGAGGGCGAAGGCCGATAAGAGCGCCACCGCCAACAAGCGGACCCGCGGCGGTATCGCTGCCGGCCCGATGCCTCCGGCGAAATCCGGCCGCCGTGACTCCTTCCCCGCCGCCGCTGCTCCGCCTTTCCTCAGGTCGCCCTCCGCCCACAGCCCGTACCACTCTCCGCCCCCTCTGTACCTCCCCGAGAGGCCGCCGGTCCCCGCCGCCCTGTACGGCGCCGCCGCCGGCCGGAACTCGCAGGCCTTCTCCGGCCACCCCCTGAGCTACCCTACCATCTACGGTTGCTACGCCGCCGCTCCATACCAGCAGGCTTACTACCGATAGTCTTTCTGCGTGTCTCTATGTGATCGATCCTCCTGCCATCGAGGACTGTAAATGTGGAAGAGGATGATGTACAAAATGGTCTCCCGCTTCTCTGAACCCGAGAAATGGGAACTTCTTTACCCTAAATCATCGTGTTCATGGTGATGATGAACATGACGATGATAAGCCATTGTGCATTTTATAATGATGATTTCCTCATTCCTCTTGTAACCCTCGATCGATCTAGCCATCGTAGCAGCCAGATCCGGACCGGGAGGGAGGGATAGAAAGAGAAGAAAGAGACGAGAGAAAGAGAGAGGATGAAGATGATCTCCTGCTTCTGTGAACCCTAGAAATGGAACCTTCTTTACCCTAAATCTCCGTGTTCATGCTGATGACGATGATGACGATGAATGTAGCCATGGATCGACCACGATCGATCTTCAATTGCGGGCCGATTTCTTCCAATTCATCTTTGAACCCTAAATCGATTGACAAAGACGACGACGACGACGGAGAAAGATCATGCCATCGAAGCAACCAGATCCAGACCGAGAGAGAGAGAGAGAGAGATCAGTCGTTGGCGGTGGCGAGCTGGAGGGAGAGGAGTTCCTCCTCGGGAATGACTCGGATGGCGCAGTCGGAACGGGGGTAGGAGACGCAGAGGAGGGCGTACCCGCGGTCGATGACGTCGTCGCTGAGCATTCCCTCGCTCTGGTCGACGGCGCCGCTGAGGAGCCTCGCCGGGCAGGTCATGCACACCCCGAGCTTGCAGTCGTGCGGCACCTCCATCCCCTCCTCCAGCGCCCTCTCCAGGATCGTCTCCCCCTCCTCCACCTCCATCGTCCTCTTCTCCCCCTCGTGCTCCACCGTCACCCTGTACGCCCTCGCCGCCACCGCCACCGCCGCGCCGCCGCCACCGCCACCACGGAGGAAGGGGAGAAGGGGGAGGGGCCTTGCTGCCGCCGGCGATCGCGGCGCCGGGCGTTGGCGGGCGGCGGCGGCAGCGGGGGAGATGAGGGAGAGAGAGGCCATGGCGGGTCTGAGTTGCAGAGCTCGGAGGGTCGAGAAGAGGCCGAGGTGAGTAGGGAGGAGGATAAGGATTTTGGCTGTGGGCCCAACGCAATCTCAGCCGTCAAATCAGTGGTATTACGGTTGGATCCCAATGCTCCGGTCGGTTCATTTTACGGATTAGAGCGAATTAGAGCGAGATAATTAATACAGGGTTTGGCAGTAATTATGTAATATTTGTGAAAGAATTGAAAATAAAATGTTTTAGGGGTAAATTAATCATACTCTGAAATGGAGCGAATTAGGTCGTTATATTTACAGGTTTTATTAGTAATTATGTAATTTTCTTGGAGGGACATGAAAATAAAATGCTTTAGTTTATAATCATAATCTGACACAGGAGTGAATTAAAGAGAGATAATTAATTTCAGGGTTTATTAGTAATTATGTAATTGTCTTGGAAGATAAAATGTTTGCGTATAAATACAATTATAGCATTGAGAAGATAAAAAACGTAGTTGTATAGTCATATGCCGGGCGGACGGGAAACTCTGAACACTATTCGGGTACAGGGCCCTCCGACTCTCTCTCTCTCTCTCTCTCTCTCTCTCTCTCTCTACCCCCGACTTCTCCCCTGCGGCCCTCTCTACTCTCCGCCGACTTCCTCCCCGGTAGCTGGGAGAGCTGATCTTGCCGCTGGTGCTGTTGAACAATCTGTGAGTTTCCATTTGTCGTCCTTCCCTTTTAGTGATGGCAGTGTTTCTCATTTGCTCTGGGTATGGCTAGGGTTTTCTCTATGTTGCCCTTCTACTATTGTGTTCGGTGGGCGGGGTATGATCGTGGTCTCGTTTTATTGGCGGGGTATGATCTGTTCGGTGTGATCGGGGTATGATCATGGGGATGTGATCGATCCTCCTGCCATCGAGGTCTGTAAATGTGGAAGAGGATGATTTAAAAAATGGTCTCCCGCTTCTCTGAACCCTAGAAATGGGAACTTCTTTACCCTAAATCACCGTGTTCATGGTGATGATGAACATGACGATGATAAGCCATTGTGTATTTTATGATGATGATTTCCTCATTCCTCTTGTAACCCTCGATCGATCCAGCCATCGTAGCAGCCAGATCCGGACCGGGAGGGAGGGATAGAAAGAGAAGAAAGAGACGAGAGAGAGAGAGAGGATGAAGATGATCTCCTGCTTCTGTGAACCCTAGAAATGGAACCTTCTTTACCCTAAATCTCCGTGTTCATGCTGATGACGATGATGACGATGAATGTAGCCATGGATCGACCACGATCGATCTTCAATTGCGGGCCGATTTCTTCTAACCACAATCAGTAGAAGGGCATACCCCGCCCACCGAACTCATTGTTTCCGAGCTCCAAACTCAAATTACTTATTTAGTATCAAGGTTATAGTCCGTGGAATTAATGATACCCAGAACCATTTAAAGCGGGCAATCAGAATTCATGCATTCAAAAATTAAAAGAAAGACATGGTTGACTGCAAACGAGGCCAGATCATTAAAAAAAGGGGGCTTTACTCTTCCCTATTGAACGACGACGAAGAGGGGTTAGTAGTAACTGCAACCCATGGAACTAGGGTCAGAGAGAAGCACAAAGGATGCACTTTCTCATCCAAATATTATTTTTCCACTATTTTTGTCCGCCTTATTGTCACATCTTGACAGATTTTTCACGGTCCAGTCATCTTCCTTTTCTTGCTAATTTTATCGTTTTTCTTTGCTCTCCATGATACCATCTTTTTTTTATATACATTGGTTTGCCGCCACCTTATAAAATAAATAATGAAAAAAATATAATACTTGGTGAGGGAAAAAAATTAAGAAGAAAGATTCCGGGCATGAATAATCCAGATTTTCTTAAGAATGATATTGAGGGGTCATCTCAGGGATGAGTTGAGATCTCTTGAGCCAGTTGAAACACTGATGCGACTCTGTTATAGTTGCAGCGATTTTGGTGTCTGGACCTAGATCAATAATCGGTGGTTTAGTTGCAGCGGGTTGTACTCGATGACTTTTACACTCCTCCGTTATAGTTTTCTATTCGGAGAATTTGTATTTTCAGATACCTATTCAATCGCCAACGTAAGAATTAAAGACCAATTGGACTACATACTAGGGTTTCGTCAGTTCGTGGTGTTTCTGGAGAATGCAGCGATATGGGGGTGTTCATGGAAAGTCAATCGACTATCCACAGAATTTGTGGCGAGCTTTGAAAAATTGGTTTTTCACAGCTTCTTATCCCCAGGTCCCTCCGTTTGAAGATACAGAAATGTGGATGATCTGGAGGTTCTGGTTTAGGAACCTGATGAAAATGTTTTTCGGTGTCTTATCCACCACATATTTGTTCTTGGTTTTTCGTACTTGGATTCAGTCTTCCTATTTTAATGATCTCTTCTTACAACCCCAATCGGTATCCCTCCTTTTTCCTACTCTTATAGGCTGAGGAAGACTTTGAGACCGTGGCTATACGTCTTTTTCTATCAGGGGTTCATCCTACTTGGTGCATCCTTGGCTGTCATCACTGTCTCAGTGCCAAACTTGTTTCTCTCCACCCTGTTTCCTGTGATTCTTACAACCAATCAGTATTCTCTTCTCTGGTTTTCCTGCAGCAGGAAGTCAACTAGGACCTCTGGTCTCCCATCTCTGCGACATCCCTATTGCATCATAGTTCATCATTCTCAGACCATTCGGGCTTTATGGTGGTCAAAAAATTGTCTTCCATTGCTGATGATGCCTCTCAGAATGCGTTTTAAATTACTTTAAACTTCAGTTTTAATCCGGGAAAAATGAAAGTAATATTCTCCTTGTGGCCTATCCATCTCCTTAAAAACTCCCAATTCCAGCATCTATGATCTTGAAATGTTTTTTTATATTGCTCTGTTGATGAGGATGGCTGACTAAGTTGACACTGCATTGGAATTCTACAACATGTTCTCCGTTTGATTTTCTTTGAACTAGATAAGAGTGATCCAATAGTTTGCAGTCAACCATGTCTTTCTTTTAATTTTTGAATGCATGAATTCTGATTGCCCGCTTTAAATGGTTCTGGGTTTCATTAATTCCACGGACTATGACCTTGATACTAAATAAATAATTTGAGTTTGGAGCTCGTAAACTATGGGTCGTCTTTTGGTTGTGATCCAGTGTAATTTCGAACACTCCTGATGATTGTCAAATGCTTTTGTGTTGACTTTCGCATCAGAATTTTCATCCATGGAAAAATATGATGCGTTAGACCTGTGAGTTACTTCTGACTGAGATAGAATTACCTTTTCTGTACTGATCCTAGATATGAAGGCAATTCCCTCTATTTGCATTGACTTTCCTAACAGAGTTTTCTTCTATTGGAACATCATGAGATGTTGACTTGTGGGCTATTACTTCTCCTCAATACTTAATTCCCTTTTTCTGTCATTATTCAGGTCATGTTGAGCCCAGCAGGCAGCGGCAGCGGCGAAAGCCGGGAGCCAGTAAACGAGCAGATGATCATCAACATGTATAACACCTTACGCTCGGAGATCAACCAGCTCCATGCAAAGATCACAGAGCTGGAGATGGAGGTGAGCGAGCACTCCCTGGTGATTGGGGCCATCGAACCACTGGACCCTGCCAGGCGGTGCTACCGCATGATCGGTGGCGTGCTCGTTGAGAGGACAGTCAAGGAGGTCCTCCCGGCGGTCCGGCGGAACAGGGAGGGCCTCGAGGAGGTGGTTTCTCGGCTTAATGAAGCCCTCGAGAGGAAGAAGAAGGAGATCCAGGAGTTTGAAGTGAAACACAAGATCAAGATCCGGAGATCAGAAGCCGAAAAAAAGGATGATGATGCACCCAAGGAGGGCTCTGCCCAGGGTGTTCTTGTGGGCCCTGCCGGGGTTTGACGACCAGTTTAACTCCTCCCATGGATGAATCCTCTTGGAACAGGCGCCATCCCTCTGATTTTTTTTCCATTTCTTCTGCTAAAATCTTCGTGTGGGTCAACCTCTGCTTTTTAGGGTTTATGCCGTCACTTTGCATGGCCAGGGCCGGCATGACGAGGGCCTCTTCTTCCAGGCATCAACTTCGACGTTCTGGATTCTCGATTTCTCCCTCTGGGTTTGGAGCTGTAGCTGACCCAAGTCAACCCGGCCAAATACTCTTAGGCTTATATGCTACCAGTTTGACCCGTGACAGCCAATACTCTTACTAATACTGGGGACGAACACTCCAAGTCTTCTCACACTAGTCTGACCAATGATGGCCAGCCTTGGCTTGTTGACTTGTCAAAGTTTCTTTCATGAGCCAAGAGAATATTTCCAGTCGATGCGTTGGCATGTCCAAAAAAAAGAAAAAAGTCAGCGTCCCTCCCCTTCCAGGAAAATGGGAGATCATGGAAAACCCGGTGACAGAAGTGTCAGGATCTAGGGAGGCTTATCGACATTTGACGGTGCAATTTTTTGGACTAATTAATCAGGCTTCTCACGTTTGTCAATATTCGAGCGAAATTAATTCTGAAAATATTAGAAAAGATGGTTGACAGGCAAATTTCCACTTGGCATTGATCGCATCCGACGTAGTAATTGGACGGCCATCTAATTTACCTGATTTTACTCTATATAAGTCTTTATTTATTATTTTTGTGATATAATATTTAATGGAATCGATAAGAGCAGTAAAGTTTTGTGTGACCGTTGAAAACGAGGAAAATTCTAACCAATAGTCATTGAGAATTTATATGCATTAATATTAGTGTATACTCACATGTGACATTATAAATCTGTGCTGTGTAATTTACCTAATTTAATTTACTAATGTTTGTGACAATAACATTCTAATGGATCACGTGTAGGGATTTTTAAAAACTTGGAAAATTCGAAAAAAAGAGTGATTGAGTCTTTATATGGAGTAATATCTACAATCACATGTGACATAATAATTGCATGTCGGTGGAATCTACCTTATTTTATTCAATCATTATGTTTTATATATTAATTTTTTGATATAATAGTATTCTACAAGACCACCAACGAGTAGTGAAATTTTAAGGCATTATTGAACTCCATGTAAAATCTGAAAAAAATAGTGTACAAGAATTTATATGCACTAAAATTAGTGTGATCACATATAATATAATAGTTACATACCATCTAATTTAGCTGTTTGTATTCAATCATAAGGTTTTATTTATTATATTTTTGTGATGCAATAATATTTTATAGGATCACTTGAGAACAGTAAAGTTTACAGGTGTTGTTAAAAGCGACATAAACTCAAAAAAACATTAATTAAATTTTTTATGCACTAATGTTAGTATGATCACATGTAACATAATAGTCCCATGTCGTCTAGATTTCTTGATTTTATTCAATCATAAGGTTTCAATTTTTTGTGATATAATGATCTTCAATGGGGTCACCAAAGAATAACAAAATTTAGAGTGGTCGTAAAATTCTAAAAGAAATAGAAATTAGATATTTATACGCACTAACATTAGTATAATAACACATGATGTATAATTATATGCCATCTAATTTGCCTAATTTATTCAATCATATAAATTATTTATTAATTTTGTTATGTAATTTTTTGAGTATTAAATGAATCTTATCTTGATGATGACAAATGCACATAAGATAATGTAAAGCTATATTATGTTTATCTACTGTTAAATTGATAAACTAATAAATACTCTTCTATTGGGGATCTAGAGTTTAACAAAATATAAATTAAGGAATAACTCAAAGAAATAATGACACATACTCTAATTGGAATTCAAATAATACTTTTGGATCCCGTTATATTAAATTCATTAATTTAATAGAACATTGTACTTTTGTACGTTGCTTTGAAAATTGTCAATATATACAAAATCTGTCACAATAAGAAAAGGAGTGATTATCACATTTAATCAATGATTTTTTATAAAGAAAAAATATGAAAGCTTACTAAGTCTATTATGTACCAATGATTTTATATCATCATATTAGAATGATTTTGACATCAAATTAAATGATTAATTAAGACCACTCAATTTGCCACATAGGTTTTTCTAAATGTTAAGAATATACTTTATCATTTTTTTTCAAGTATTTTAAATCAATGAAATTGTCTATAAACATTGAGATCATGATTGAACATGTACATGGTGATCATATTTTATTTGAGGTGATTTAGATTAGTTTGACTATTAAATCCCTATTTTATCTAGACACATGATATCGATTTTGTTTTAATGATGTCATATCGTTACAAAACTCAATTGAATCAATATGTTTTAGGTATAGAGGCTGTACTTGTTTGACAAAACAATGCATGAATTTCTCAAAAATATATTAAATTCTTCAAAAACCAATCATATTGATTTCCAATTGTTCAAATTTTAAACTATTTCTGAAATTATAATCATTGTGAAATAATGAGGAAACATTGGATGTCTTTGACTTTAAGTTCTCTATAAATACAATTGTTTAATGACTATTCGTGTAGAATGATCATATACATCTCTCCACTATCTTGAGAGTTGATATCTTTTATAGAAAAAGATGTATGAAATCATAAGATATTTTGATAACTCTCATTAATTATATGATAAAATGCTTAATATTTTATAATTTATTATTTAATTTTACAGAAATATTTATAAATTCCTTTAATCTAGAAAAAATGATATTAAACTTATTTATATGGTTATATTATTAATTTCTAGAAATTATATGATGACATTCACTATGAAATATTTTGATAGGTTTTTCCAATGAATAATATTATTATCAAAATTCTTCTATGTTAATTTCATTTATTTCTGAATTTTTCCTGATTTTTTTTATTTTTCTTGAGCTTATTACGATAAATAATAATTTAATAATAAAAAAAAATAAAATACGAAACTAATTTGTTTTTTTAGGTTTTCCGCATCAGCGACGGACGTAACGAATACAGCAAGAAGTTCGGCAGATGATTCGACGAAATCGACGGAATTAACGCACAGGAAGATGGAAAAATGCTGGAGGAAGAAGGGGGCATCTTCGATCAATCTATCGCGCTCCACAACCATTTTCTCTCTCCTCCGGCAGCGACAAACGCCGGATTCGCCCAAATCATCTATCCGATACAAACGATAGATTTCTTCTCGACTTCTCCCTGATTCTGCCGCCAAAGAAGCTGAAATTCATCCAACAACTCGTCCCATTCTTCTCCCGATACAAACGGTGAAGAATTTCTTCCGAGGATCCTTCTCCGAACACCACGGGCACGCTCGGCGTCGAACCACCGCCGTCAACCGGTTCCAGCAAGTGATAGTTTTTGGTATCGTCATTCATCGACTGGAGATTGTGTAGGAATCCATTCGGTGCACCGCGCATGCACAAATCGATCGAATTCGGGCGGAAATTCGATCGTCGACCGTTCCGCCCATTCTTCCGTAAAACTTGAATCTTTGCATGATTTTACTTTATTTTTAATTTATAAAAAGTTCCATTCATTTCTAAATTGTGTTACGAAAAATTTCTCTTTAAAAATCAAAGTTTATTTCCAAGTTTTTTGGCTTTGATTTTAAGAAATACGAGTCGACGTATTTCCGGCGACTTGAATTTCGGGGTGTTCTTCGCGGGCTGACGTCGGCTGATGTCATAATCCATAATTTCTTATTTCAAAATTATTTTTTTATGAATATTTGAAAATAAGAAAACCAAAAAATTAATGTATCAATTGGAAATTATAAACATAATTAACTAATGTCTTATCTTCCTTGTGTTCGACCTGGAAAAACCCTATAAAATTAAATTATTCTAAATTGGCTTGTTTTCCAGCATTTATAAATTATAAATTTACTGAATTTTCTTTACAATGACAGAAAATATTTAGTCATATTTCTTATTGGTGAAACAACACAAAGGTAACGAGTCAAGAATCTATTTTCAATCAATCAATGACATCCTCAACCAAATTAAACCAACAACATCCTCTACCTTCAACCAATGTCCTTTCAAAGAAATAACAATAAAAATCAAATCTTGATCATCATCATATTCATAAAAAATTTGGACATACTCAAAGTCAACATCATCTTCTAGAAAACAACTCATGGTGAACTCGTATATATTTTGTGGGATAATCTTATCATTAAATATCTATTAATCAATATTTGAAGAATTAGAACCATAAATTTAGAAGATAATTTCCAAGAGAGTTTGTGAAAATTGAACTAAATAAACAACTTTTGTGATTCAGACATTTTATCTGATGGAACCTAAGAACGAAATTGTTCTTGTGGAGTAGATGTAGGTAGGTGGCTGACCCAAAAATTCTTGAGGGTTTATGACTTAGATCCCTTAATATCTTAACATAAGATTGGAGAAAGAAGATTAAGGAGAGTAGCAAGAAGTACACTGAAGTTAACATTACATGAACTAATCAATTCAATCCTCAACCATTTTTTATCTAAGTGTGGCCTTAAATTCAATTATATTAATATTATATTGGATCACCTGAGAATAAAAAGTTTTGATGGGTGATTGCAAGCTAAGTAAATTTTAAAAAACATATTAACCACAAACTTTTATGCAGCACTATTAGTATAATCAAATATAGTGTAACAATTAAATGCCATCTAACTTAGTCAATTTTGTTCAATCATAGGGGTTTAGTGGATTCTACTGAATTATTCATTAATTTTGTGATATAATAGTGTTCTACTAAATCATCCAAGAATAGCAAAGTTTAGAAGGATTTTTGAAAGCCATTTAAATTCTAAAAAAAGGCCTAATTGAGAATTTATATGCACTAATCTTAGTATTATCACATGTGGCTTAATAATTGCACATAGTTTAATTTACTTAATTTGATCTAATAATAAGATTTTATTTTTTTGTTTTTATGATATAATAATATTCTATGAGATCACTTGAGAACACCAAAGTTCAAAGCTAAAGAAATTCTAAAGACAATTGAGAACTTATTTGTGTCAACATTAGTATGATCACATGACGTAACAATTACAAGATACCTAATTTAACCTAATTTTATTCAATTAAGAGGTTTTATTTATTATTTTTTGAGCTAGAATATTTCTACATGATCACCCTAGAGAAGTAAACTTTAGAGGGGTTGCTGAAAGGTAGGTAAATCATAATATATATATATATATATTTAAATTTTATATGAACTGATATTAGTATAATCACATGTGAAGTGAAAACTACATATTTTCTAATTTAATTGATTTTTTTCAATGATAAGGTTTTATTTATTAATTTTTATGATGCAAAAATAATACTCATGATCACCTAAGAATAGCAAAGTTTAGTGGAGTTTTTGAAAGAAAGGTAAATTCTAGAAAATATAGTAACTGAGAACTTGTATTCACTAATATTAATTTAGTCACATGTTTGTAATATTTGCATGTCATCTAATTATCCTAATTTTATTCAATCAAAAAGTTTTATTAATTCCTTTTTGTGATATAACAATATTCTATAGGACCACTTGAAAATGGCGATACCAAAATTCAGATTTCATATGCACTAATATTTTTGTAATCACATGTCATGTAATAATTGCAAACCATCTTATTTACTCGATTTTATTTAATACAATTATTTATTTAATATTTTTTGTGAAATAATAAATTCTAAAGGATCACTTGAGACTAGCAAAGTTTGAAGGGATTGTTGAAGACCTGCCAAATTGAAAAGAATAGTAATTGAGTGTTTATATACACTAATATCAGTATAATCAAATGTGACAGAATAATTTCATGCTGCCTAATTTACCCCATTTTATTAGTTAAAGGTTTTATTTATTAATTTTTGTGTTATAATAGTTCAGTTTTGAGGGGCCCTTGAAAACCTGGTAAACTCTTAAAAAATGGTTATTATGAATATTTATGTGGAGTAATATTAATAGAGAGAGAGAAAATGGAGAGCCAGCCCACAATAATTCTCCCCCCTGTCATCGTCCCCTCCATACATCTGACTCTTCCTCTTCTTCTTCTTCTTCTTCTTCCTCGTCGTCGGAGAGCTCGGCAAGGAGGTCGGAGAAGGCGCGGAGGATGTGCTTGTGGGTGTGCTTCCGGTTCAGAGCGAGGTAGCAGACCAGCAGTTCCTGGAGGCCTTCCCGACGGTGACGGTGCCGGCGGCAGCTCAGCAGGCCGGCGGCGGCGGCCATCTCCGTCATGGACCGCCGGAAGTCCTCGTAGGGATCCGGCGAGTAGGTCGGCACCGCCACGCCGAAGCCGATGGGGACGGCAGAGGGATCGGCGATGGCATTGGACGGCCCCGGGGGAGACGGAGGGTGGAGGCGGCGGGAGGCGATGGCTGTCGACAGGCCTGATATCGCCGCCGTGGGTTCGTCGTAGTCGGCGGCGACGGCGGGGGAGGAGGAGGGCTCGTAGAGGGTGTTGAAGTTGTTGAAGACGGCGGTGGAGGGGGAGGAGGAGGAAAGGCGGTCGAAGTCCTTGTCAATCGCCGCATCGGGAGGAGAAGAGGAACAGCTGCTGAGTCTGCTGAAGAAGAGGTGGAGATTCCTCGCCATGGAATTCACCTTCCGAAAGAGAGAGAATTCTGAGAAGTTGAGGGAGAGAGAGGGATAGAGGGGAGGGGGGGAGATTCCGAGAAGTTGAGAGGGAACGACAGAGAGGGGGAGGAATTCTGAGAAGTTGAGAGGGAACGAGAGAGAGAGGGAGGGATCCTGAGAAGCTGAGAGAGAACTAGAGCGAGAGAGAGAGAGGGGGGGGGGAGGGGAGATTCTCAGAAGTTGAGATAGAACGAGATAGAGTGAGAGGGCATTCTGAGAAGTTGAAGGAGAACGAGAGAGACAGAGAGAGACAGAGAGAGAGGGGGAGAGATGGGGAGGAGATGAAGGCTGGTGAGAGTTTTAAGAGAGAGAAAGGACAGTAGCCGGTGGCCGACAGTTATATAGGCGGGCAGTTAGGGGTTAGACCGGGCCTTTTTTTTAACTCCCATCTAGGCTGCATAGCCACACGTGGGGCCCTCACAACTGTCCGATCAAACGAGAGCCAATCACAACCGTCTGTACACTTTCCCTGACTCATATCGCTTGAAAATTAAATTTAGCGCCCCAAGTTTATGAAAAGGGGTAGATATCCTTTTCTGGGGGGAAGAGTATATTTTAATGCCCTTTCCCAAACTAGGCGATCGCTTCCGTTGACCGGCGGAGATTTGGCGTCTTATTTTAATGCCCTTGCAAGAGGTGGCCAAGGCTGTCCGCATGTGATCCCAGCCGCTTGGGATGGACAAGGAGTTTCACAGGCCCCCACACCCCACGCTACGCGACACCTCTCTCTCTCTCTTTATCTCAGTATCTCTCTCCTGCACCAGCTCTCTTTCTCATCCGCTCTCTCTGTCTCTCTCCCACACAGCTCTCTCTCTCTCTCTCTCTCTCTCTATCCATCTGTCTGTCTCTATCTCTCTCATTATCTCTCTATCGATCTCTTCTGTATGACAATGACGTTCAGTGTGCAAGGCGCACACTCTCTCTCTCTTGTGTATGATTGATGGCATTCATTACTAAACTTTCTCTCTCTACGTTGATGATGGCGTTCAGCACTCAAGGTCCTCTCCCGCATTGATGGACGCATGATGATTCATACGAACCTCTCTTTCTCCTTATCCCTCTCTCTCCCCTCCCTCTCTCTCTCTACAGATAATTGAATATTTCTTTCTCTACCATCAGACGAATCTCCCTCTCCACAGACAACTGAATCTTTCTCTCTCTACCTTCAAACCAATCTCTCTCCTCCCTTCTCCCACTCTCTAAATAATTGAATTTCTCTCTACAAACCTCTCTCTCTCTCTCTCTCTCGCTATTCTCTCTCATAGACAAAGGACGATGTACAACGAGCCGAAGGAGAATCTCCCACGCATTTTGACTTGGCGGTCGTTTCGACCAATTAAAGTGTGCCACGGAACAATATAAAAGCCGACTTGTGATCAACGGCTTCCATATGGCATAACCACGCGGCTATAGACTGGGCCTATCACGGGCCGGGCCCGGGCCAACCGGTGCATTAAGAAAATAAGCCCATAAAGTAGGCCCACAGACGGCGAAAGAGAGAGATAGAGAGAGAGGAGGGGAAGGGGTTTGTTACTAATATCACTGTTTTTTAAAGTGAAGATCTGTTATTTTTCTGATGTTCTGAATAAATTTTAATAAAAAAAGAGCGCCAGTGAGCTGAAAAAATTAAAAAATCGATTATTTTTTGTCTGGGGGCGGGGGGCTGTTTTCTCTGTGACAACCCATTTCAAGCCCAATTACGGCCTACCCTGGCCCTGGCCCATCTCTCTGTCTCTCTGTCTCTCTGTCTCTGTCTCTGTCTCTCTCTCTCTCTCTCTTTCGATATAGAGACGGGGGTAAGGTTTCTATTTCTAAAGGTGAAGATTTGCTGTTTTACTGATTTTATAAATTAAATTAAATAAAATTCAAGCGGCAGTGAGCTACAAAAATAAAATTCATTTTTTTGTTTTCTGGGAAGTCGACGGGTTTGTTCCGAATATCAAACCGTTGTTATAAAGTGAATATTTGCTATTTCACTGATTTTCTGAATTAAATTCGAGCGCCTGTGAGAAATAGGAGAGAGAACTAGAGCGCCCATTAGAGAGAGAGAGAGAAAGAGAGGTTTGTTCCTAATACCAAATCATTCTTGAAAGTAATGGATCTGCTATATCACTGATTTCCCAAAAAACTTGAACAAAATTCCTGCGCCTGTGAGCACCAAACATAAAAATCGAATTTTTCCCAACCTCTCTCTCTGCGTGCGAGAGGTTACCAGTAGTCGCCGCAAGAGCAGCGGCCTTCGGAGAAGTGGTGGAACCTGACGTTGTCCCTGAGGATGATCTCCCTCTTGACGATGGCGGAGATGAGCTTGATGGCAGCGTGGCAGTCCCCGCAGACGCGCAGATTCTTCGTCACCCTGATCGGCGCCGGCGCCGGCACCCACAGCAGCCCAAACGCTACCGCCAGTTTCTCGCTGTGCTCCCTCACCTCCCCTTCCTTCTCCTCCTCCTCCACATCGTACAGCGCCCATCTAGTCTCCGGCGAGTACCCCGCCGCCCTCATCTCCCTCTCCAGCCTCCCCAGCTCCGTCCTGATCTCCCCGTCCCTCTCGTGCTTCCCATCCTTGGCGTGGAAGACGTGCACCTCGTGCCGCCATGAAACCCAGCTGCAACCTGGCCCCTTCTTCACCCCCGCCACCTTCATTTCCTTCCTCACCTCCGTCGCCTCCTCCCACCGCCCCGCGGCGGCGAGCATGTTGGAGAGCAGAACCAGATTGCCGGAGTCTCCTGGGTCGAGCTCCAGCAGGCGCTCCGCCGCCGTCTTCCCCAGCTCCACCTTCCCGTGCATCCTGCAGGCCCCCAGCAGTGCCCCCCACACCGACGCCGACGGCGCCATCGGCATCTTCCTGATGAGCTCGTAGGCCGCCTCCTCCCTCCCCGCGCGCCCCAGCAGGTCCACCGCGCAGGCGTAGTGCTCCAAGGTGGGGACTATGGCGTATCTCTCCCCCATGGTCTCGAAGAGCTCGAGCCCCTCCTCGACGAGCCCCCCGCGGCTGCACGCCGCCATGGCGCACACCAGCGTCACATGGTTGGGGGCGGTGCCGCCGGGGAGGGCCATGGCGTGGAGAGCTTCAAGGGCGGGCCGGGCGAGGCCCTGCTGGGCGTAGCTGCCGATCATGGCGTTCCAGGAGACGAGGTTCTTACTGGGCAGCCATTGGAAGGTGCGCTCAGCGTCTGCAACGCTGCCGCATTTGCCATACATGTCGACGAGGGCGGTGCCGACGAAGACGCTGCTGTCGGAGCGGGACCGGACGGCGGCGGCGTGCAGCGCCCTGCCGAGGTCGACCCCGGCGAGGCCCGCGCAGGTGGTGAGGACGCTGGAGAGCATGAAGTCGGAGGCCCGCATGCCCTCCCTTCGCGCCGCGAGGAAGACGGCGAAGGCCTCCGTCTCCGCCGCGTTTTGCGCGTAGGCGGCGATCATGGAGCACCAGGAGACGTCGTTTCTCGGGGAAATCCCGTCGAAGACTCGCCGGGCGCCGGCCGGCCGGCGGAGCTTGCCGTAGAAGTCGATCAGCGCATTGCCCACGGAGACGTCCCCCTCGAAGCCTGAGCGGACGATGAACCCGTGGAGCTGCTCGCCGGCGGGAAGGTAGCCGTCGCCGCCGCTGCCGCCGGCGCCGGCACAGGCGTTGAGGAAGGCGCAGAGGGTGATGGAATTAGGGTAGCACTCGGGGCGGTGGCGGAGGGCGAGGAAAGCTTCGGCGGCATCAGCGGGGCGAGCTTCGAGGACGGCGTTGGACATGACCGCGTTCCAGGCGACGATGTTCTTCTGGGGCATTTCATCGAACAAGTTGCTGGCGTCGGTTTTGAGGCCCGTCTTACAGTACATGTCGAGAGCGCTGCAGGCGACGAAGACGTCGGAGATGAGGCCGGACTTGAGGGCCAAGGCGTGGAGCTGCCGGCCGGCCGGCGGCAAGGTGAGGGCGGCGGCCGCCTTGAAGGCGCAGGGGAAGGTGAAGTCGTTGGGGAAGACGGAGGCGCGGAGCATGAGTGCGAACTGGGCGAGAGCGGCGGAGAAGCGGCCGTTCTGGACGAGGCCAGCAATGAGGGCAGTCCAGGAAACGACGGAGGGATCGGGGTGGAGGGAGAGGACAGCGGCGGCGGGGAGGGGGAGGTCGAGCTTGGAGTACATGTTGACGAGGTGGTTGCAGAGGAAGGAGGGGACGGAGGGGGAGAGGGATCGGAGGATGGCGCAGTGGGCGGCGCGGCCGAGGCGAGGGGATCGGGCGGAGACGGCGGACTCGACGGCGGCTGCGAGCCACTGCGGCCCCGGCACGGCGGGCGGCGGCATTTCGCCCGGCGGTCATCATGCGGCTGGCGGACTGTCTCGCGCGGGCCGTAGAAAAGTCTTGAACACTTTTTTGATGGAAATTTTGGGGAGGGGGCCGGGGGGCCTTAACCTTACTATACACATAATATTTACGTCACCATAAAATGAATTTGATCCTTCGCCTTAAAAAATTGTATTTAGTGACATCATAAAATTAATTCATTCCAGGTTTACAAAAAAAAATTAGTAGCTTTCAAAGACTCAAACTTGGCATAACCACCAAATTTTTAATTTTCTAGAATGTGATCTCTAATATTAAAACCCTTAAATTTTTAAACCCACTTGACTTAGGATCTTAGAAAATCAGTTAGTGATAATTATAATTGTTAACATCACATGATTCTGGAACGTAGTTGTTTCCCCTTTTGATCTCTTTGTCATTGGAGAGTAGTTGATGTCGATGGTTGAAGAGAAAGGAAAAAGAAATTTAATTCTCATTCACCTAATATTTAGTCGGGGAAGGGTATTTATTGTCTTAACAACTAGGTTGGATCTAGAATAATGTACTCATTTAAACTAGACCCAATACAAGAATTAAACAAGTGATCTCTAACGATCCCCCTCAAACAAGTGATTGGGTGTTGTCTAGTCCCAACTTGGATATGAGTCATTGAAAGATAGGTCCATTTAATCTCTTGTTCAATATGTTTGTCAATTCGTCATAAGTGAAGACATGGAGCACAAATGATGTTGATGTCAAATTTTGCCTTGATGAAATGATAATCTATTCCTACATGCTTAGTGTGATCATGCTATATTGAAATATGTGGAATATTGATGGTTGATTTTCTATTGTAATATATTTGATGGGTTGTGCCACTTGATTCTTAACCCTTATAGAATTTATTTCACCCACAATGTTTCACAAATGCTATGTGCCATTGTCCATAACTCACATTCAACACTTGAATATTGGAGCATTAAAATATATGATATTTTGATGATGTCAAAGAAGTATAAGATCAATAAAAAGATCAAACTATGCCTAATTAAGAATATACATGATATGATATTGATCATGAAAATGCTTAAGTATGATCCAAAATAACATCAGCAAAAGTTTAAATGGAAACTTATGAAGTATATTTGTGATCAATGATGCTGAACATGTTAAATTAATTAATTACAACATGATTAATTAGTATTTTTGTATATTATTATATAAAGCACTAATATATGTAGAAACTTCCACAATAAGAAAATGAATTATTAAGACATTCAAATCAATGAGATTTCAATGAAAGTAAGGGTATAAAAATTTACTCAGTTGTCTATGAACACATAATTTTACATCATAAGTCTTGAAAGATTTTGACATCGAATAATATTACTAATTTATGTCAAAATAGATTGTCTAGACATTACCAAATACATGTTGAGAATCTTGTTAAGTACCTTAATCAATAACTTAATCATTCAAAACATTGAGATCTTTAATCAAAATATATCTCTAGACATCATACTTTATCTAAAGTAATTTAGAGTAATGTTGATAGTTTTATTAGAGATTTAGTGACCCACGTTTTATTAATTATGAACTCACAATATCAGATCCTAAATGGACTAATATGAATCGACATGATTTAGATATGAACATTAAGTGTTAATAGAACTACATATTAATTTTATCTAAAATATTATTATCTTTTAAAAGACATATTATATTGGTTTCTCAACCTTTTAAATTGATCATAGTTTAGGGAAAATCATCATTATGAAATCACATAAATGTGAGAAGACTTTCATACAAGATTTGTATGTAAATTTTACTATCTTCCAATGGCTAAATCAATAGACATCAAACATGTTTATTTTCTCAACAACCTCCAACTTTCCATTCAATTTTTGGTATAAGAAATTTAAGTGAAAAATAGTAAGGATCATGATGGCAAGTCAATCTATTCAAAGTCATTAATTCAAAGAGCACTATTATAGCTTTGAAAGATCCTCCCTTAATTAATTAGAGCCTAAAGAGCTTTTCATCAACACTAATCAATTCAATAAGAAGAGGGTAACAAATTGAAGCCACCAAACATCATCTTATTTCTTGTGATTCAAGACATTTTGAGTTGACATTATCCTTCAGAAAATTAATAATGGAGAAATCATTTCTTATATATTGTAAGATAAACTTGTGATTCAAATACTACTTAATTACTCATGGGATCCGTCTTTTTAAATAGTTATTGGTCTCTTAGAGGTGTGAATCTAAAAAAAAAATTCAAAGTGAAATTTCATTAGAGTTGTCTAGTAATCAATAGAGTTTTGGATACCTTTGGGTTAAAAGCTCATTCAGGGGCAATTACTCAATGTTTTCTAACTCAAACTTATTCTCTGACTTGCTTACTTAAGGAATAGAATGGTGTCTAATCTAATTATCATAGCTAGTGGAATCTAATAACTATGATTATTCTTAAAGAGTTAATGTATGTGGTAGGTTGAAACATTTTAAAAATATTATGTCTTTGTACAACCTTATTTTAAGTTTTAGATAACTAATAACTAGTACAAAAATCTCTCATATCATCAACACAAAATTGACAATCAAGAAAATTATAGGTGAATCAATTCAACCCTACCTTCTTGCTTTTAGTATAAGCCAAAACTCAAGATAATAGTTAAAGCTTTCACATTAATTTTTTTTGATACATTATTTTGGTAGAGATGCATCTATTGTTCCTTTCTATCACTTTGTTTTAGTATGGAGTGTTCGAATAGGAAGACTCATGAATTTTCACTTCCTAATGAAAAATGATTATTATTATTTGGTTTAAATAGTCCTTTGTATTATTAGATGTAAATTTTTTAATCATGGTCTCAAATTGATTTTTAATTAGTGAACCAAAAAACTGTAGAACTTTACTAACTTTAGACTTATGAAACTTGTAAGAAATGTCATGAGTATGTCTATGGTACAACCCCATTATTGACATATAGAAGGTGTAAGAAGGGGGCACATGCACAACACATGTAAGGATTATAAATATAGTTGAGGGGGGGTCATATGAAGGGGGAGAACAATTAGAACCATGAGAGGCAAGGGAATTCTTTTGAATTCATTCCCCACCCCTTTTACTCTTCTTTCTCTCTTCCTTTTCTCATATCTTGATAGAACTATCATCAAGATGTTCTATCCTACAATATTGTCTTGATTTCATGAATCAATACAATTGTTTTTCTTTAGATTCACTCAAATCTGATCCTTTCAAAGAGGATCGTATCATTGGTATTAGAGTCAAGTTTTTGCAATTGCAAGCACCATGGTGCCAAAGGTAGTAAACATTTGTTTTGAAGCCCTAGAACCTATCAGTGGATCAATAAAGGATGGCAAAAGATATGTAAAGATCATGAGAAGAATTCACAAATCTGATGTACCAACTCCTAAAAAACATGCAACAATTTCAACTAATGGTATGTGCTCAACTAGATGTCTTGAAGAAGAAATAGACTCCTAATCTAGAACTAACATCATTATTCTGTTAAGAACAAATAGAATGATGACCTAAGGTAAAATCTTCCATCCACCCTCAAGAATCTATATTCCAAATGAACCTACAATAGGTTACCACAACATTCAGTTCAATACAAAGCAAGAGATACTAGTATTTCATAATGAAAATCCTAAAGGTTGGTTGAATTGTATTGAAAGATTCTTCATATTAAATAAGGTAGATGATCAAAATCAATTAGAGATGGTAATGATGAAACAAAAAAGTTTAGCATTGAAATGGTACTTATGGAAGGATGAAAGGTATTTACTCCTCAAATAGCAAAATTTCAAGATTCAATTGGGAAAACATTTTGACACTTCTATAGTGGGCAACACATTTCATAAATTCCTCAATATACAATAAGAACAATCTGTTCAAGAATATCAAGTAGAATATGAATGTTTATCTACTTACTTGCCAAAACCCTAAGATATTGTAATGGAGAATACATATATGAAAGGCTTGAAATTAGAGATTCAGGTAGAATTAGCTCATATGAGTCTAGTTGGACTAATGAAGATGATGGACACATCAATAGAGTAGAGCAGCACATCCACACCCTATGGGAAGCTTGGGATAATCATCTGCCCAAATCTTTCTAGCAAGGTAATTCTACTTCATTTAAGGTTGTTGACAGTCATTTACCTTCACTACCTAGTGAACTTGAAAAGAGTAAGAACATGCCTTATTTCTTAGAATGGAAGCCCAAGAGTAATCTTCCACCTCAAGTGGAGGAAAGGACAACCAATACCACAAGCAGATCACCATCACTAATGTAGAATATCAAAGTCATTATAAAAGGGAGCTTTGTTATCATTGTGAAGAAAAATTTAGTTTAGGAAATTGTTGTAAGAAAAAATTCTAGATTTTTAATAGTTCATGAAGATAATCAAGAAACTGATGACACTCTTTTATATGATTCTAAAGATGATATGGAGTTGCCAACAAAAGAAGAGACTATTTGCAACACAAGTCTCATTGAATTCAATGGTTGGGCTCACTTAAACAAGAACTACGATAGAAGAAACTTTGTAAGGGCATGTTGTCTCTATTCTAATTGATTCAAGAGTGACATAAAATTTCATATGCTCAGAATTATGTGTATGCCACAAATTACCTCAAACAAAAGTAGCGAATTATGAGATTTACATGAGAAATAATGAGGTCCTACAAAGAAACAGAGTGTGTAAGAGTATCTCCCTACAAGTTCAAGGTTTAGTCATCACTCAAGATTTTCTACCACTCATGTTGGGAAGTATTGATGTTACACTTGGAATACAATGGTTAAATTATACAAGATAGATACATGTCAATTAGGGAAACTTAATTATGAAATTCATAGTAAATGAGATGCTCATAGTCCTCAAGGGAGATCCAAAGCTATCCAAATTAGAATTTCAATTAAAATTATTGAAAGAAGTCATCAAGCAGCAGCCCCCAACACTTATTGAGTTACACAAGATGCAGATGCAAGAGGAAACAACAAGTACCACCATTATTTCCCCAACATAACCTTATTTCAGTCAATTACTTTCATTTGTTTTTTCACCCACAATGGGACTACCACTAGAGTGTGAAGTGGACCCCTCAATTAATGTTGTTCCAAGGAGTAGGCTTGTAAACCTTAGACCTTATCATTATTCTCATTTCAAGAAAGATGAAATTGAGAAGTTAGTATAAGAACTCTCATACCAACTCACAATGAGTTGTTCCAAAAACTCTAGATGAGTTAATTGACAAATTGAAGTTAGGGTATATCAAATTCATGGATGTTACAAAGACAATATTTAAAACTTGCAATAGGCTTTATGAACTTATTATTATGCCCTTCGAACTTTGAAATGTACTAGCAACTTTTTAGTCGCTTATGAATGAGTTGTTTTTTCCCTTTCTTAGATAGTTTGTATTCATATTTTTTATGATCTCCTAATTTACAGTTGTAATAGTTAGAATTATGAAGCATGCTTAACATAGATTTTTACTATTCTATCTATGAACAACCTCCATATCAATGTTAAAAAGTGTTAACACGCTCAGCCCTCTATGCAAGCATTGTTGTAAAAAAAGGTAAGATTTCAATTATACTCCATTAGCCACATCCAAATAATGTTAAGGAGATAAAGGGTTTTTGGGGTCGCAAAGGTTATGACATAAAATTTGTAGCTAATCATGCTTCTATTGTATGGCCCCTCACCAGTCTCTTCAAGAAAAAAACTTTTGTCTGGAGCCCAGCTTCTCAAGAGGCATTTTTCCAACTCAAAAAGGTAATGACAACTACATTAGTTTGAAGCTTACCTAACTTTTCATTATCATTTATTATGAGTGTGGGGAGAGTGAGGGGGGGGGGGGGGGTTCTTATGCAATCTAGAAGACCAATGACTTTTCATAACCAAGTCTTTCCCTATAGCCATCAATTCAAGTTAGCTTATGAGTTGGGAGCCCATTGCTATTGTTAAAGTAGTACAAAAATGGTAGCACTACTTAATTCATTGGCCCTTCACCATCCAAACTGATCAATATAGTTTGAAATATTTTCTTAAACAGTGATATGTCCACCTATGATATCACAAAATGGTTCATAAAATTATTGGGATTCAACTTTGTTATCAAATATAACAAACGACTTAATATTGCTATTGATGCCTTATCTTGGGCACCACATATGGGGGAGCTGGGGGAAACTTAAGTGTCCTAGCCCCAATTGTTGGATCTTGCTATTGTTCAATAAGAAGTTTCACACAATTCTAAACTACAAGTTGTTATAGATATATTGACCAATGTCTCATAAGCTCCTCATTTCTTCTTGCATCATGGGATACTATATGAAAATTAATTGCTATTATCATTTAAATCAACCTTAATACCACTACAAGTTTTTTGGAAAGGCATGGAAAGGACTATCAAAGAGCATGTGGAGAACTATCAAGTCTGTCATAGGAACAAGGTCTTATCCTTGTCTCCCCCATGCCTTTTGCAACCACATCTCATTCCACATCAGATATAGGAAGACCTTTTTATGAACTTTATATAAGGTTTATCAAGATCTAATGGCTTTGATACTATACTAGTCATTATTGATTGCCTTAGTAAGTACAATCATTTTATTCTATTTAAACACCCATTTTTTGCACCACAAGTGGTGCAAGCTCTTGCAAAAGAAGTGGTTCACTTACATGACTTGCCTAAATCTATTGTTTCTGATCATGACAAAGTGTTTACAAGTACTTTCTAATAGGAAGTATCAAAGTTGCAATGAACTCAACTTCAATTGTCCTCATCTTATCACCCTTAGTTTGATGGACAACTTCTATCTAGACAACCCCATTTAAAGTAGTTTATGGCCATGATCCACTTACCATCATCAATTATGGGTCTTTCCCCTCTCGAATTTCAATTATGGACCAACTGTTGCTAGAATGTGATCAAATACTTAGCTTGTTGAAACAACATCTATAGAACTTCATCTTTACAAAATGAGATCTCTAGCATGCAAAGTGAACAAGAAGCTTTCTCTAAGATTTTTGGGTCATATAGTATCCTCTATTGAATGGGTAAAACAACATACAAGCTTGATCTTTCATCTTCATCATCAATTCATTTAGTATTCCATATATCTCAACTTTGGTAGGCCTTATCACCAAATAGTTTACCTTAACCACGTCCATCATTGCTCACCACAAATATGGAATGTCACATCCAACCTCAAATAATCAAAGGAGTGTAGAAGACACTACTGGGACTAGAAGTTCTAATGAAATGGGCCAATCTACCAGATCATGAGGCTTCATGGGAGCTCATTCACAATATTGTTTGCCAATTTCTAGACTTTCACATGAAGAACTGTGTATTTGGAGGGGGGAGTAATGATAGGACCCCATTACAAACATATAGAAGGCCTAAGAAGGGGACACGTGCATAACATGTTTGAGGATTATAAATACAACTAGGGGGAGGGGGAGGGGGAAGGGGTCATATGAAGAGGGAGAATAGTCAAAATCAAGAAAGGCAAGGGAATCCTCTTGAATCATTCCCTACCACTTTTACTTTTCTTTCTCTCTTCCTTTTCTTGTATCTTGATAAAATTATCATCTTGACATTTTATCCTACAACATTGTCTTGATTGTGAATCAATACAATTATTTCTCTTCAAATTCACTCAGATCTGGCCCATTTATAATACGTGAACCAGAAACTATCCTTGTAGTTACTTTTCTTCACCCCTTAGTATTGTATTTGTGGTGGTGATATCCTATCTTTATGTTTCGCCACAAATGCTGAATCATCAATATTTTGTAGTTCTATTATTAAACCTTTCTTGCTCTCCTCATTTTAGATTATTGCTATCACTTCTTCAAGGTCAAGTATTCTCTTTGTCCTAAAATTTGGGCTTAAACTTGGTCATATGTTATATTTAGACCAACCAAAATTGTAAATTATGCTCTTCCCAACATATTTTTTGAAAAATACTCCATCATCAAGATTATGTGCAATAATCAGCTGTTATCTATCAATTTCTTACCATAATAATTTTAATTCATTTGTATATTCTCTTGTTTGAGCTTTAGTCAAAGTCATCACCTTAGCCATAACACAATAAATTTGAGTTTCATCTTGTTTCTTTGAGAAAGCATCACTTGCTTTCTCCCAAATATCCTTAGTTATTGGTAAGAATAAATAATTTCCATTAATCTCAAATGTCATTGTGTCCAAAGTCATGTTTTTATAATTGCATCTTCCTCCTTCCAAAATCTAAAACAAGCGTATGCTTGTTCAAGTGTTAATTCAAAGAGAATGCTCAATTTTCCTCTCCCTAATAGTATTATTTCAGTTGAAGTAGAGTTCTTCCATCTAACTTGAACTCATTTAGAATATTTGACAATTTTAAGTATAGTTTAGAGTGCTATGATGATGAAGAGGATAAGGACCATGCATTTCACCCACTTCTGACATAAAAAATACCCTCTTCTCAAACAACCAAATGCTGCACCCTTGTCTTATATATAGATGGTGAGGCCTGATAGAGGATTAATAGGGTCCAATAAATGAAGAGTCACCTCCACCCAAAATGGCACTATCCATCCAAGAATGAGAGGAGAGGTAAATAGGGCTACAGAAGCCAAGACAACAAAAAACATAATTAGAAGATGATTGCCCACAAGCAATAAGACTTTGACAAAGCAAACCACGATCTAGGGTACATCAACAAATATTCATCAACAGATCAAAATATTTTACCCAAAAGATCATTCCAAGGGTCGATAAAGATTAGAACTAACACACCTACCCTACTCTGATACCATGTTAAACCTTCAAAAAAATAGTTCAAATTTTGATTAAAAGTCTCATATTTTCCAATTATGGTCCCTAAAACACCATGAGTCCCTTGTGACCAATTCCTCAAGCACTTGGAGCATGATACAAAAAAGATCTCAAAAATGCTCATTAACATCTCTCAAATGTTATTGATTCATGTGGTCATGGTTGCAAGACCATGTGATCAATCTGCTACAAAAACTAAAGTTTGGTTGAAATTCAATTATCCAGAATGTGGTTTGTTCCCATGCTACACAATGTCTTTGATGGAGGGGATTCCAACATTTGATACCATATATTTGAGAATCATAAAGAATCTATGGCCTTTGAGGAACTAAGCATCTTGAGACCATTGATTCAGGCAAGTTAACGAGCAACATTTTTATTCAGGAAATAAGAAAATAAAATCGGAAACAACCCCCTCCCCCATAGCCCTGATTAAAGCCTTTCATCGTCACAACAGTTAATGAGGGAGAGAGAGCAATTACGTACAATCAAGGATTCCTATGCTGTGGTAGAGGGCTCCTTCCAAGTTCTTAGGTCCCCAAAGGGGATTTAACCTAGATGTTGAAGAATCTATGGAGGCGAGAAGCCATGAAAAGGGGGAACAAAGCTAGAATCAGCAGGACGTGGGTGTAATTGAGGAAGGAGAGCAGAAGAGGGGGGGGGGGGGATTCTCAGGCTTCAGTCAGTATCAAAGATGAGACGATCATGACATATGCAACGAAGAAGAAGATTGCTACTTGGATTAAGAATTTTGGGTTCTCCCTCATGCTTGGAGAAGTCACCGATCTGATCAGAAGCCAGAAAAAGGGGGAAAAAAAAAGAGAACATGATCAGAAAGATGATATATGCAAGAAGATTAAGGACGAGACACAGAGAAACCTGCCTTGCTACACGCTGAGAGAGGCGATAGAAGGGTAAGCTCTGGATGAACACAATACCGGGTCCAGTGAGAGTAGCTGCCATCTGGTTATCACCCTGTTGAAACAAGCATGGCAATAAAATTAAAGAAAAAAAATGACGGACATGGAGCGTGATTCACTCAATTGAAGGATTCCTGGTAGCCTTTCAGATTAAACGAGGACAATTTCAGCAGTTATTCGTTTTTGACTAAAAACGGGAAGATGATTGTTCAACTGACCCCAAAGACGACTCTCCTCAAGGGGTTGGTGTTTTTGAGCTGTAAATCAATTGCGCTTGTCATGGCAACTATGGAAGCAGCATCAACAACCAGCACTTCCCCAGCCTCAAGGGTCTTCTGAACAACTGCAGGCAAGGTTTTAGGAGGTCATCCCATGGAGCTAACTCAATCTGATGCCAATTAAAGTAAGCGCATTCCATGTTCTACGTTCACAGAGCCAATAAGGTTTAAGTCACCAGTTCTTGAAAATTTTGAAGGTCCTTGAATGGAAAAACTGGCAAATAAAAAAATAATTATGTTCTAGGCTATAAATGCTAGTAATATATATAACAGCAAGCTAACCCAGTATAAATTAAATGTTCGTTTCCTTTTCTATCTAGTATTATCAAGTTAATGGTTCCTTCGCCCATGACAATGGTTCCCCTTATTGGTGTTTGGATCTAGGTTTAATGTTTAGGAGCTCTCTAGAACGTATATGGTCAATTAGATCATGCCAGATACCTGAATTGACGGTATTGATCTGATCAGATGGAATCCCCAAATAGATTCAAGCTACAACTGAAGATCGCTCAAATCCTCTGACAAAAAGCACACCTGAAGGGAAAAACACAAGGAGCCTCTGATACCCTGTGTCATAAATGTGAGGACCCATGAAGGAAAAATGCGTAATTATGAGTTAATTTCTGTTGGCCAGTTTCCTAGTTTTTCAGTTCCCTGGTTTGCCAGTTTTCGTTCGTCAGTTCCCTTAACCTAAGTAGTTTCCTTTTTTGTCACCAGGGTAACTAAATATAACTAGCAATTGTTCTATGATTTGAGTAGCAGAAGAGAATTTTCCTGACTGTTTATCTTTGTATGGTTTGCATCAACCCAGATGCAGTAAGCAGTGGTATTATTTTGAGAGGACCAATGGTGTGGACATGTTCTTCTTCATGAAAAGCTTCAGGCACTTGTCAGGTTAACTGTAGACCTGGGCATTCCAGTAGATGAGGCTCTTCTGGTCTTTCTGGGGTTAGTAGACACTAGTATCTAAGCCTCAGATGAAATCTTATAGATTATAAGATCAAAAAGTTGAGATTGTACTTGTAGAAATGGGAGACACGAAGCTTCTTTACTGCTTGATCAACATTTCTTATTATCGAACAGAGAAGAAAAAGGCAAAAGATGGCACATCAGATTTCGGGTTTTATCCCCTTTAACACTGACGATCTTAATATCGAGAATTTCATGCAGATGTCTCCCTACATATGGTCGCCTAGCTTGACATTTGGAAAACATAGGCAATACTTGAAATATTTGTGAGAAGGAGACATCAATTATTTTTTGATATTCCTTCTCAGGTCAGAGGCTCCCCACTGCAGCAGTCTTTAGCTGTTGGCAGCTTCCAGTAATTATGGAGGAAATCTGGCCTAGGTTGGGAAAAACCCTGAACGTTTCAAAGGGGCCATGTAATATGGTGACTCATCTGGTTTTCGTTCCAGATGAATTTGTGATATTATCCACTCTAATTTTTTTTTGAAATGGAATCTTTAAAATACAATAAAAGCTTCGCATAATTTCAAGCAATAAACTGAATACTTCGAAATAACAAACATTGCCCTAAAATAAGTTATATGATTATAGTCACTAACGTCTGCTCTCATTCTTCACATTGTAAGACCAATCATATGCAACAAAGTTGGCCCATAATCAAAGGATGATATTGTAGTAGGAAAGGGAAACTTGAACACAGAAAGGATCACCTTCATACTTTTTCAAGCCAAACCCTGAAAGATTTGAAATAAAAATTTCTGCCCTAAATCAAATCTGGCAAATAATCTTCACATTAATGGAACATCACATTTCAGTTGTGTATATTGATCTTCAAGAAAATATTGAATGATGTGTACATAGCTTCCTAATAACTTTGTGTACAATCCGGGCAGTGGCAGCTGATGAATTTATTTCAAACATCAGTGAATCAATTTGCTAAGAGTTTTAGATGTGTTGCCAAATCTAGCACTCCAACACTTGTCAGACCCTGAAAACAATCATATAGTCATGAAATGTGGACCATCTTAAAGAAACAACGCATGATGCCCAACAACAGACCTGTACAATAAGTGAATTATTTATCATGACTTTGGTAATTACTACATGAAAACAATAAGAAAAAGAAAATTACTAAAAGACTCACAATCCAATTTACCGACCAAAAAATATTTCCCATCAGCATGAGCATGTTGGGTTCGTAAGGAATCTGGAGGATCAATTTTGGCAATATTCTCGTAGAAATGTTGAATTCTAACATTCATCTTAATCCAGCTCACATTCTCAATTTATATAGACTATAGAATTGAATGAAATATAAAAAAAGCCCTAGAGGTGAGATAAGGACGAATACCAGATCCACCAGCTGTTAAGAATGCAAGGCCTTGACCAACTAATTTCTGTCTTAGAATTCCCTAGAAATCATGAGTCAAAGTGAGAATTTTATATCATTGAGTGGAAAGGTAAGAGAAGAAATAATATATTTTCACAGGAAACAAAGATAAATATGTCACCTCTGCACCAGCCAAAACAATGCGAGCTCTCTGATCAAATGTGTTGGTAACCGTGACCTCATTGAGAGAGCAAAGGAATGCGTCTGGCTACAACAAGCATTAGGGCAAAGTGAGAAACGCATCTTTTTGTAGCAGAAGGCAGGTTTGAATAAGAAAGAAGCCATAAGAATGCTTTAAAAAATGTTCTGATTTCAATACTACTAGCCGTAAGAATAATGGAAGTAAAACGGGGGAACACACTAAGAGGATGCACATTCAAAAAACCCACAAATATTGAATAGGATTTCCCTGGAAATATCAACATCAACAAAATACAGTCGGGATGACGTCTATAAAAAAGAATCTAAAACAAAAGTAAAATAACAGATTAAAATTCAGTTTATCAATAGGATGGAGCTCCAATAACGTATCAAATTAGATACCAACATCGGCACATGGAATACAACAGGAGTTTTTCACTTGGTAATATAATGAGCGAAGGAACTTTAAACGATTCGAAACTTGAAATGAAGGATGTACTGCTACCTGGCATAAAATTTCTCCGCCAAAGTTTGCCAGATCAATCTACAAAAGAATGAAGGAGAAAAGGTTAGATATCAAGGAAGGATCAACCTCCTAAAAACTATGGTTAAATGTCAGTAAATTCAATGTCCCTCGTGCTGAAAACATCCACTGGGCCGAAAGTAAACATAAGCCTGAGTACTGACCGGAAATATCCTAGCAGGAGATGGTGCTGCAATTCCAACAAATCCATCATGTGGGCCAGCGTTAGAAAGAATAATGCTAGTCATGCTCTTGCCAAAAAGCCACTGCCATACGCCGCCATCATTTTCAGGAAGGAAAACGTTATCCATTTTAATGGAGCCAGACATATAGCACATGGAACCTAAAAAACATTGCACTCATAGATTAAAAGCAACTTGAGATAACATAAGAGACATAAGTTCCATCAGGTAATATGAAAGACATCGTTCTCTAAGAACTAAATTTATTTCAGAATAAGTTGAAGCTAATGGACCATATCTCAGGGGGCAATATTTCCAACACGTTATCTTCCAGATTATCTCGTTTAAATGTTCTCTCAACTCTCATGGAGCACCAAGAGGATTATGAAATATGACCACAGCTAATATAGTAGCCAATTCAAGGAATTAAAATATCAATAAAATAGATACTTTATGAAAACCCATCTACGCATGTTAGAGGTTTCACAACACATAATGAACCACACCAACAGCAGCCTATTTTGTTTTCAAACAAGTAAAAAAATTACCAGGTCTTGCTGTGACCTTCTCTTGTGGCTTCAGCATTATCTGTTAAAAAATGAAAGACAAGTAGATTAGACAAGTGTAACAGAGAAATTAAACGATATTGAAACAGAAATGCGTAAAAAATCCGGACCTGAACTATCTGAGCTTCTCCACCCAATATCTGGAAAGGTGTAACCACTGCTTGGGGGCTCTGATAAAAAATAATGTTTTGAAATAGTATAAGAATATATCAGGTGATCAGACAGAATTTAAAAAATACAACTGAGAACATCATCAGGATATAATTCAATACAGCCTAAAGAATTACCATAGTACTGCCAAAAACGGTATAAAGCATAATACACATCGGACGTGACCCAGAACCTTGAGTAACACCGCTTGATTTCTTATGTATACGCTTGAAAAAATTAATGAGAAAAAGAAACTAACAACCCAGGATCGTTCCATGTCAGCAGAGACCTCCACCTGTCCTCACCGCATCTACCAAGGTGATTGAGTGCAAAGCAGCAGCTTAATGAGGACCTTATGAACAATTGAAGCCAAGGGTACATATCTAATAAGAAACCACTTCCCAAAAAAATACCCAATAACAAACCACGTGAGTGAAGCAATAATAGAATTTTATTTTCTCATTTTTTGGAATGTTCTAGAATTAAATTATCATTCTCAGATAATTACGATAGGTTATGATACATAACTTAACTTACCTACAGTAGTATGTCACTTGTTTCTAAATCAAGAAATTATCAGCAATTAAATTAATTTAGTATTGCCTTAATGTGTAAATGTATCCCGTTAACTGGTTTACTAGAAACAAACTTTAAGAAGATATGTTCTGATCCTCTTTTCACAACAACTTTGTATAATGTGGACAAAAATAGATAATACAAACCATAAATGGTAAAAAATAGATAATTTCCTGTGTTTTTACAGATAGATATGTAATAAAGACTGTCATAAAAAATAAGCCACTAACTAGGAATACTTAAATTCAACACATTAACAAGAATCTGGATTAAACTAAACCCACAAAGTTGGGTAAGAGGAAAATATTGTACAACAGAAACCTAAGCCATCAACTCATTAGAAACATTCTCACTAAACACAAGACCATGACAAAACCATAAAGTATCTGATGGGACCATGAACGAGGAAACTCCAAAACCTGGACCACTCGTAGAGTTGATCACACTCTTTTGACCTCCTCTCCTTTAATAACCTGTGATGTGAAAGTAATACTGTCCATGCACTTGATCTAAAATAAGAAATCATACCCAAAGGTCAACTGGCTTAGACAGGTTTCCCTTCGTACAGAGACCCAGAACAGGAGATAGAAGCCCATGAAAAATCATTTCATTATTTTACCCTCTTGTATGGCCCCCGGACACTCTCTAATTCTCATCTTTTTCCCTTGTAGCCCTCAAAGGCATCACAAAATTTATCAGTGAGATCATTTCGTCTAAGTCAACAGTACAGATAGATTTAAGGAAATAACAGAAATCTGCTCCAGGACCTTTCCTTCCGAACTATTGAAAACCATGTAACGTCACAGGAGGAAGCTATATATTCGAACTACAACGTCATCGGATTCCGGTAGAGAAGTTAACTAAAATTCGCGCACCCGAAATTATCAAGAGCTGAAACCTTAGCATAAAAGTCAGCTTAGTCTCGGACTTTCCCTTTATACAAAGCCTAGTCCGTCCATTCGGGCTTCTCTAGTCAATTGCTTCAAATGTTGTGTGACTTGTGATCAACACCAAATTTGAGAGAAATCCAACGGTAATTCTTAATTAAATATATCGGCAAAAAATCTACGAAAGAGAAAGGATAAAAAAAACATATTTACCCATAGTAAAAGTCCGCGTCTGTCGATCAACTGCTCAGACGAGCAAGACATGGAGTCATCTTATGAGAAACTAAATCATAGGAACTAAGTCATAGGAAAATGGCCAAGAAAAAAAAACGCAAAGGGTTAATGAAGCGAGTTTCAGGTTGGCACCTGGTAGACGTAGGGCTGGAAAGGTGTAGAGAAGACGGGTGCCGCCATCGCACGCCACCCCCGAGAGGCAGGTGTGACACCCCTCGCCGACCACCGCGCGACAGCAGGCCTCCGGGGCGTCACCAGAGATCAGATCGTAGTCAGAGAAGCACGGCGGAGATCTCAGAGCGGATCAGGCATTCTCCCCTCGATCCAGGAGGAGGAAGAGCCGAGGAATTCGAATTTGAGGAAACCGAACGTTGATTTCTTGTACTGCTCTCCGGGAGCTCTTGTGAGATCTTGGGAGAGGGGGAAGGAGGAGAATAACCTAAATTCCCCAAATTACCCTTCGCCGTTCCGCGGCGAACAGGCTGCACGTGAGTGTTTCGGGAATCACACGTGCCACAAGTCGGCGGTGGCGCCACATCATATATTTGACGTGGCTACATCTTATTCGCCATCTCAAGACACCGATATGTGATCTTTTTTGACGTGGCAGCGATAAAAATGCAGTTTTCAGATATGTGCCCTTTTTTGTCAATATTGAGAATAAAACCTCGATTTTTAACATATTTAGATTAATCCATATTTTAATACATGTCCCGTGAGGGAGAGAGAGGAGACTAACTGAAATTCCCGAAATTACCCTTCACGGTTCCGCGGCGCAGGCTGCACGTGAGTGGTTCAGGAATCACACATGTCAGCCGTGGCGCTACATCATATATTTGACGTGGCGACATCCCATTCGCGCTCTGGACACGTTGGCAGCGATCAGAAATGCAGTTTACAAATATCTTCCTTGGTTTATTAACATTGAGAATAAAACCTTGCTTTTTAACTTATTTACATTAATCACTCTTTTAACAACACGTCGCTTTGGCAGGCAGTGGGTCCCAGCTAGCTGAAGAAAAGCCCAGAAAGCAGCTTAGGGCCAGATATCAGTGAAGAGAGGAAGAGAGAAAAAGAGAGAGAGAAAGAGAGAGAAAGAGAGAGAGAGAGAGAGAGAGAGAGAGAGAGAGAGAGAGAGAGAGCACTTTCTGCCATAAAAAGTCAAATCTTATTTTTGAGTCAAAAAGAAAAACTTTCAAGAAAAGCCAAAAGGTACAAAAAGTTCAAGTATTCAACGATCTTCAATAGTGTTTATCAATAGACCCAAAAAATATTTTTGATAATTTGATATTATTATTACACACCTACCCTTCACGTGGTATTCAATGGGAACACTATTGCAAATTAAAGAGTTTCGTGTGAGTGAAAAAACTAAAAAAATTATTAGAGTATTTAATTTTCCAAGTTTTTTTTCCACCAGTTAAATCCTTTTTTGTCTTAGTATAAAATAAATACTAGAACTTTTATTATTAAAGTATTTCTACGACAACCTTGGAACCTTTGATGTGAAAGAAAGCCAGAGGCTTCAAGAAAGGACTTCCGCACTCATTTGGACGTCCTTCTAGGGCTGATATTAAATACTCATAATTAATATTTCGAAAATACTTATGATCCTTTATTTTATATGATTATACGATTTATTATATACTATTTAGCGAACAGACAAAAGTAGGGGTATTTTTGTAATAGTCGAGAACATCCCGCCGAGACGATTATAGTTACCCAGGGGTCATCGGCTTCCGGGCCCTACAATGCTTGAAGCCGAAGCAAACGCGGGCGAGAGGCATCGGATGTGTCTGGTCACCGCAGTGGGCGTGGTGTCATGCCAACCTCCATTTCATCCGCCGCGGGGGGGGGGCATCTCCAATTTAATATTATTTAATTGCGTAAGTGCCTAGAAATTTCGAGCAAGCCTTCGGCCTTTGTTCTGGTCTGTCTCTCTCTGTATCTATGTCTGTGTGTTCTCTGTCTCTCTCGGTCCTCTCTGTCTGTCTGTCTCTCTCTTCCTTGGGGGCTCCTGGTGGAGGAGGCTTCGCCGGAGGAACTAGGGAGGGGGAAGAGGACGAGGAATCCGGAGGCTGAAATCTACTGATTGGGTGCGTTTGGGGATTGAGGGGTGTTCTTGCAGTACAGGAGGGGGGATGAAGCACATTTTAAAGAAGCTCCACCGGGGGGGGAGCCACGACCCGGGGCGTTCCTCCCACGAGGTGAGCGCGTCCACAGTCGCATCGCCGTCGTCGTCATCGCCCTCGGCGGCGTCCCCGCAGGTATCGTTCGGGTCTGATCACCGTCGGCAAGGCGATGGGGTGGTGGCCGGGCAGGCGATCGCCGAGCCGCCGCAGTCACCCGGGGATGGGAGCGTTGGTGGGACCGGGGCGGCGGCGGACCGGGCGGACTACTTCTCCTCGGAGGAGGAGTTCCAGGTGCAGCTGGCGCTTGCGATTAGCGCATCGAATTCGGAGCATAGGGAGGATCCGGACGGGGATCAGATAAGGGCGGCTACTCTGTTGAGCCTCGGGAAGGACAAGAATGGCGCCGCGGGAGAGGAGCAGGGTACTGCTGAGGCGTTGTCAAGGCAATACTGGGTGAGTGGTCTCATTCTACCCCGAGCAGTTTATTCCTTGTTGCCGAATGTTTTGAGTTTCTGGCTGATGTTCTACAGATGGGGGCTAGTAATTTGTCACTAGTAATTTGTCACTTCTCTAGGGAACTAGAATTTCATTCAGGAGTTAACTTGCCAAAATCTCAGCTTGCCGAATTGTGCCATGAATAGAGCCCGTGATTCGTAATTGTTCTTAGATCTGACAGTTCATGTTGGTTGTTGAAGCTCTACGAGGGAACTTATTTTATCCCCTTTTCACCATGAGAGCCTGGTTTAAGTACGATATACGATTATAGGATAAATAAATCAGTCTCAGCAGCAAAAAGTGTATCAAATAAACTTTAACGTAAGTATGCAATAACTGTGGTGTCCATTGACTAGAACGGAATTATCAAAGGAGTGAGGTTTTTTATGGCAGTAAACATATTCAAGTGTTAAATAGTTTTCATTATTGGAAGCATTTGGTGCCATCATCTTTTCTTATATTATGGGTTTGAGATAATGCCATTCATATGTTGTGCATGCAAGCTCGGAAGCAAAGCCCTCATCATAACTGGTGCTGCGTTGAAGTACCAGCAAAGATTCATGAATACATTACTGGAAATGATTGTTCAAAAATGGATAAAAGGAAATTTAGAATAAGATCTAGTTACACTAAGGAGATCAGATACCCGGATGCACACCTAGAAAATAGCCACGGAAGAATTCGGAAATCATCTCAGGATAGGATTTACCTTTATTCCAAGGATGACAGTTGGTTGTTTTACCCATGCTAATAATAACTTTCGTGACATGGCTCTCTTCAAGATTGTCATATTACGTCTTGAGGAACAGGAGCCTTATCTTAGAACATGTGCCCGTTTCGATGCCATGGTATCCTGTACTTAGTAATGAATCAGACTCCTGACCAAAGTATTTTCATTTTTTATGAAGAAGTGAGGATTTTCGATCAGATCTTAAAGAAAATGTGATCAGATGTTGCGGGGTTATTAAGTATTTTGAAGGTTCCATGGTTTTATGTAATGAGATTTTGAAAATTATCTCTTTTTATAATTAAACCATAATTAGTGAAAGACTCTTGAAAGAATTTTTTCTCTCTCTTCTGATTGTGGGATACTTACATGATTTAAGGGAATATTTGTAAATTGCAATCAGTATTCCCTTACGTGGGTCTAAGGACGCTTTTAATGATTTGAATTTTTTTTTCTTATTCTGTATGGTCGCAGTGAACTTTTGGGCAGATTCTCACCTTTGTATTGGCTTGTTCAATGAACTTGAACGGTCATTCATATTGACTACGTGAACCCTTCTGACGTTAGGTTGCTTTTCCATTGCATCTCTTGAGAAATATCTCTAAAGTCAGTCATTCAAATTTTATCTCCAAATATCTATCTTCAAAAAGAATTTTATCTTCAATGCCTTTCGTGACAAGAATCATTGAGTTGTTTTAAAACATATCACAATGGTTAATACTGGTTACCCACTTTTTTATTAATATTTCATATGCCCATCTGGTAAGATAAGCTTTTCCAGATGAATTTTGATAAACAAGTTGGTTTGCAATCGCCCCTTTTCTCAATTGTCTTTCTGTATGCATCTTGTCTTTTCAAGGCGTTTTATAATTTTTCTTGTTCCTTCATAGTCGTGTGATATAACCCTCATGAAACCATGCTAAAATGCCCTGGCCTAAACTGTCAATTATTTCCAAAGTTTTAAAAAACTTGTGGTCGTGAAGAAAGAGGTTATAGGTACGAGTAATAAATCCTATTCTCTTGCCTGCTATGGTTCTATTAAATCAGTTTTAAAGTGAGTGATTTCAACTCGAACATAACCTGAATATTTAGATTCCTTAATGCATGTCTAAGGACCTTCCTTGTTCTAGCATCGTTAATTTAAAATAACTGATTATTTCAGCTTTTTCTCGCTCCTTAACATTGCTTTATGTGACAAGTATAGTTTCTCCTTTATGCATTATCATTTTCAACCTCATAATTTTCTGATCTTTCTTGTCCCTATTTGTTGGCAGGACTACAATGTGCTTGACTACAATGTGAAAGTTACTGATGGGTTTTATGACATATTTAGTCTATCCCTTGATCGTGCGGGGCAAAACATGCCCCCCCTTGCTGACTTTCAAACAAATATCGGGGATCTTGGTTTTGAAGTCATTATTGTCAATCGGGCAATTGATCCAGCCCTAGTAGAGTTGGAGCAGGTTGCACAGTGTATTGCTTTAGGCTACCACCTTGCTGATGTTGAGCATCTGGTGCAAAGAATCTCAGATCTTGTTATGGAGCATATGGGTGGCCCTGTAAGAGATGCAAATTACATGCTGGCTAGGTGGATGGAACAAAGTTCGGCGCTGCGAGCTTCCTTACATACAAGTTTGTTGCCTATTGGGGAAATACGTGTTGGCCTATCACGTCACCGTGCACTCCTTTTTAAGGTAACCCAGATGCTCATATCCTTTTTCGTGTGCATTCTTGTAATAGAATCCATTGGAACGTTTATTATCGGATGATACAGTTGATGCGATGCGCATTTAGGGCACCTTGTATCTGTCTTCATTCCAAATTTTGGCTATGAAGGGAGACATGAAATTTGAAATGTTGAACATAAATAGGATGTATGATAAAGATATTAGGAGGATAGGATCCATGCCCCAAAGCCTAGACTATTGTGTTTAGGTAGATGACGGTGATAAGTGATGATATCTAGCTTTTAACTTTTGAACTTGGAACCTACAAAGGTTTAATGTTACCCCAAGGTAGAGGCAGTGATTCCTTTTGTCGTATCATTTTACCATTGGCAAGTCCAATGGCAGTGGCCTAGGTGTACAGGGGTCAGGATAAGAGAGAAATGCAGCAAGCCCTTGAAAAATAATGGAAACGTTGTTAAATAACTCCCAAGTAGTCTTTTGTTTATGAATCCTCGAGAACCGGAAGCATCTTACAATATTCACCTTTACAAAAAAACTGGCCTACTCAAATTCCGAATCAGTGCAATCGGATTGGTTACCCTCGATTTCCTATCCAGTGGGGATGGTTCCGATCTAAACTGGTACTTATTTTAATGCCTTGTTCTGTGTATATATCATGTTGACTCCAAGTTCGAAAAAGCATAATTCAGCCATCTAGATGGTTGGTTGATTCAGACAGGGATCCTGCCGCTGCTCTTTGTTTTTAGATGCTCACTTTAGGAATATTACTCTTTTCTCCTTCCAGAGAAAAATGCTATTGTTTATTCGTACGTTATGTGAAAGTACTACACTCTATCTAACTTGGACATACCTGTGTGGTCCCATATGATTATTTTTTCCTTTTGGGGAGTCCTTGTCCATGTGGGATTGATAGGTCGCATAGTCCTTCTCAATGATTAATTTTTAATGGAGAATTCTCTTTATTGGATGCAGTACATCTTTTCCTAAATCAACTATAGTTGCATAATGATAGAATTTTTGTCAAAAGGAAGACATATAAATCAGTTTCTAACCTGTAAAAGGCTGTACATGCACTAGCCCCTTTTTGAGTTGAAACTGATCCTTGTAGATAAAGAAAAAGGAAAACATTGCTGAATCAGGTGATCTGGCTTGACGTACATTTAGCACGATTTGTCTAGAACCGTCCCTGTGATCTGTGGATTAAACTTAATGGTTATACTTCAATCCGTAAACAAATCACCTATCTCAGTATGGATCACGGTAGATGAACGTTTTTTGTATAGTTTTTCATTACTGTTGCCACTGCAATCTATCTTGATACAATCTTATGCCTTCTTTCTCCTTTTTCTTATTATTTTTCTGAATTCAGGTGTTAGCAGACCATGTTGGCATCCCCTGCAAACTTGTAAGAGGAAATCATTACACTGGTGTTGATGATGATGCTGTTGACTTGATTAAATTGGGTGGCAGGTATGCTACAAGTTCTCCATGTTCTATTGTTATTTTGTTTTTGCTCCCAATGTTTCTTGTTTATTTCATCCTGATGGTGTCTTCTTCTCTTTGTTAATAAGCTTTCACCTTGATATTTGAGCGTTTTAAATAATTTTTATCCATAGATGTTGAACAGTTAAATAGTTCATTCGAAGTTTTTGTGGTGTTTTCTTCAAGTTGATAAAATTGAGTGACATGCAGGAGATCTCCTTTATCCTTTTGTGGAAAGGAACGCTTATCAGTTTTTGGTTGAAAAATTTGTACGCATGTAGTCTCTGGTACAGTTTCTTTCTGGCCAATTACTATTTCTTTTTCTTGTGTTTCTGCCTCAGGGAATATTTGGTTGACCTGATGGCTGCCCCTGGGACACTCATTCCAGCTGATGCTCTTAATGGCAAGGATCCTTCCTTGAATTTAAGTAATTCTAGAAAGAGCAGAAGCCTAACTGACGGAGCAAATGACTCAGTTCCGACTTCGTCCAGCGCTGAGGCATACAATGGTAACGACACTGTGAATAAGCCAGTTCCAGAGGACAGTGGGTTTGTAGGAAGATCATCAGGATCTGAAAAGGCAGTGGCTCTGCCTTCTTTTCCAAGTCCAAGTAGAGAGGAGTCATCTTCTACAAGTGGAAGCAGTTTGCATGAAGAAATATCGACTCCAGCTGAAGTTGAAAGACCACATAAACTTCTTCCAGCTACGAGGACAGGTTCTCAGAAACAACATTCTGACGTTTCGTTTCCTCAGGATGGGGTAAAGGAAAAGGTCACTGGCCCGTCACAATCACAGGATCATTTGGACTCCAGAAACCTTTTTGCTGAACTGAATCCATTTCTGACGACTGGACTTGGAAAAACTTCTTCATTGATGAGTAAGTCTACTGAAATTAAAAACAACGAACCTCAGAGGCGCAGAGAAAATATTGCGTCAGGTCCTGGAAGACCTCCTCTTCCCTTAGTCTGGAAAAACCGTTTTACTTGCAACGAGTTTTCTAACAAAAGGCAGCATGACTTTGTGGAGGGTAATTTTCCTCGTAAAAATCTTGAAGTGAAAGATCTTAATGCATCAACATCATCATCTCACAGCTCAGTTTCTCCTGAAAGCATCAACTCTGAAATTCCAAAACATAATGTTGCGGGAATTTCTGGTGTTCCATACCCTGCGGAGAAATGTGGTTCTGGCGATGAACATTATGGTTTCTTTGAAAATGAGAAGGATATAGGTGCAAATTACAGTCATATGTTGCAATCCAATGATGGTTATGGTGCAAACAATGACCAAAAAAAAAATCCGTATTCAGAGAAGCCGCAACAATTGAAAGAGAATTCCCTGCAGAATAGTCTGCCAAACGGTCCTAATATTGGGAAAAATCGTAGTGACCAGCATGCCTGGAGAAAAGTGACGAGTACAAACCTGAAGGATGCTGGATCTTCAAGCATTTTAGACCATTCTGGAACACAGCAGCTTGATCCAATGCTAGATGACGTGGCAGAATGTGAAATATTGTGGGAGGACCTCGTAATTGGTGAAAGAATTGGATTAGGTAATGTCTGAAGTTGGTCTTTGCTAAGACTTATATTTAGTCTGATATTCTTTTTGATTCAAGCTTTGTTGTCGTTTTGTACTATGAAATCCTCCTCCCAGATTTCTTTTCCTGTTTTAGAAAAAATATTGTTACCTTTACATTGGAAAACGGTAGCTTCATAACTTGACTAATTTGAAACGATTGCCTGTGTACAAGTTGCAAAATCTTTTTTGCATGCTGAGGATGAATATAAATTCATATTTTACAGTTAATTTTGTTGCATGTTCTTGATGCTTAAACCTTCCAAATGAATGCCATGATGCCTTCCTAATAAAGCTCATATATTCCCACTCTGCTACTACTGGAACTTAGAGCCTCTCCTCCAAAGGAATTGGGCCCTGGGAGATGGTCAGTATTACAAAAATACAACCTAACAACATTGAGCTGTCAAGTTGATATTCGTTGTATCTATTTTGTCTAAACATTTATATTCTTATTTTTTCTTTGTCAGAATTGATCTTATTTTCCCGTCACAATTAGATTTGGGTGATCTCATTCAACATCAATTGGAAAAACCATCCTTCAAATATCTATTCTGTTATTAGGGATCAGAGTTAAGCAAGATTATTTTTTTATTATTTTACTGTCAATCATATTTAACTAGATAATGAAAACAGGGGGAACAAAATAATGCATGCAACCCAGCTGTTCTGTTTCCTCTACATGAGAGCTTGTATGTATGAAACATGCAATGACCTTAATTCTTTGCTATGTTTTAGGTTCGTATGGAGAGGTATATCGTGCAGAGTGGAATTCCAAAGTGAGTCTTCTTCTTTTTGTTTGTTCTTGAACTCTCTCTATTTGCCTAAGCACAACGTACTTAATGAGGATGAAACACGTTAGGACTATGAAGGATGAATTATGTAATAAATCATACTTTGTAGAGCAAACCCTTCTACGTGAGATGTGCTTATGATCTGTGTTTTTTTTCTTTTGATCAAATGGTCTTCCTTTCACCTCTAAATATACTGTACCTCAGTTAATTAGGAGAATGAAACTCTTGTGAAGATGAACGATGTTGATCCCGCGTGGTCTCCTCAATGTCTTATGTTCTGTCAGCTTATGTTATTTCACATTGCAAAGAATAAATGAAATCATATGCTTCTTATCAACAACTTAATTTGAGTTAAATAATCTTGACTTGCTCTTATATATCAAACAAATGGTGCCCTTGACCTTGCTCACTCATTTCTATTTTGCACTTGACAAAGCTCGAAAAAGTTGACTTGCATCTGAGTAGGTCCATTAGAAAGAACCCAGATTAAAGAGAACAAATAAAAGCCACGTGGTTATATATAGACGTACTCAACTCACTGAAAACTCACTTTGAGTTGGATATCCTAGCAATGGTATATATCTCTTAATTTGGTGAAATACATTTGCAACCGTCCTAATTAAAGTAAACCTGTGCAATTCTTCTATGTGAGCCGTTTGCATTATCATTTCTTCACTGTTGTAGTGCCTAGAATGTTTTGGATGTGTTCATTTGTTTTTGTTGTTTAAATTGTGACTGAGATTTTTTATCAAATCAACAAAATTGTACTCGTCCTTGTGCACTACCTACAAAGGAAATGCTGTGATTGTCACCATAGATGTCTCTCCACTAGCATCCAGGTTAGGCACGCTCGAGGAAGAGGCCTCCATGCCTGTGGAGTTCATGCTGTGTTTGTGTGTGTGTGTGTGTGTGTGTGTGTGTTGGTGGGTAGCTGCTGGAGCATGGGGAGAGAGGGCATGGAGTTTCTAGAAATGTAGTGACAGAATGTGTCATTCTGTCAGTTGTCACATCTCTATTGATAGTGGTTCCTAAATATTCTACCCAGAACAAGAATCTTGAACCTTTATTTAAAACTGCATTCAAGAATATATTAACTTGCTACTACGAACTTCTCAAGTTTATGTTATCTTAGGACTTTTGTGAAATTTTGGATGGGGCTTTCTTGAACATTTTTTTATCATTTTGTTCAAACTGTAGACCTAAATTGTTTGAGTAAATTGGATATTTTAAACCCTGTTAGATGGCTCTTGTTACCTGGATCTCGTGAAAGAACAATGTGACACTGGTAAAGTGGAACTTCTTTGTGATTTCACCTGGGATTGGGGTAACATTTGGTTCAGTCCTCAACCACCCATTTTCTGTCTCTAATAATGGGGAAAGGATTTTTCCTCGCTCCCTATAAATATATTTATATCACTCCTTCCTCATTTTCATGTGCGGGGTATCCCCTTCCCTCATTTTCTCTCCCTCTCCTTTCCAGCCACTATTTTACTAGGGTCTTCCCCTTCCCTTCCACAAATTGCAGTAGGGACAATCGTTTGGAAAGAAAAGGAAAGAGAAGGGACGGAAACGGGGTGGGGGTGTATGATAGATATGGGGGGAAGGAGAGTCAGGGAGTAGGGATAGGGAGAGGCAGTCCTTTGCTTTGAACACCAGAGGTGGGTAGGGAAGCAGAGGGAGAGGAAGGGCACTTTGTTGAGTGGGTGTGTTTCTTTAAAATCTAAGGTTGTCTCATTCTTTAACAATCTATCAATTGTATTCCCCTTGGCTTAGTAATGCCACTATTTTAAGCATCTCTTATAGACTTCCATGTGATAAAAAAAGGTTTCTGCATAATATGCCCTTTCATGGCTAAAAGTATTTTATCCTACAGTTTTCAACAATACTGCTAGTCCATATTCAGATAAGCCAGTCATGGAATGTTATATTGGAATTACTATCAGAAAGGAGTTCTCATTCTTCAAGTGCCAAATAATAAATTGTGTACGATCCATTTGTTAGAAAAGAAAATCTTCTTTTAATTGTACAAGTATGATTAATTTTAAGTTTTGATCTACAGGAAGTGGCGGTGAAAAAGTTCTTAGACCAGGACTTTTATGGAGATGCCCTGGATGAATTTCGTCGTGAAGTGCGTGAACATATTCTTTATTATTGAATTCAATTTGGAAATGATGTTTACTTCATAGATCTCTGATTGAACGTCGTTAATTCCTTTTTGTTCGATTGGCATAATGTGCCTTGGAATCAGGTACGAATAATGCGCAGATTGCGACATCCAAATGTTGTCCTTTTCATGGGCGCTGTAACTCGTCCTCCTAACCTCTCCATTGTTACTGAATTTCTTCCCAGGTGGTGCTTCTCTCATTTTTTGTTTCTACAGTCGGAATTGAAATTTGGTTTTTAAATGACATTTTTTTTCTTATTTCTAATGTTAATTCTAACATGTTTTCCCTGCCTTTGTGGCTGTCCCATCAAGATACTATTCTTGCTTTCCTTTTTGAATTATGAGGTTTTTATTAAAGGATCACGTTTGTTCATTCGGATGCTAAAGGGCATTCCATTCAATTTACTCTCTTTGGAGAGCGTTCTGCTGATTGAAATTGGCTTCTAGTTCGTAATTCCATAACGTGACGCTAGAGATGTTTTCCACGTTCTTTCTTGGCAATTCACATGTGTTTTGTATTTGTTGGAGCTTTGTTTTGTGCCGCACAATCAACCTTTGTTTTCTGGTCATCATTATTGTTGTACTGTTTCGTAAATTTACATTTCTTTTACCATACCATGTGCCTATTATGTCTGCCAATTTTCTGTAAACCCTTGGTTTGAGCATTTTATCTTTCAGTTCTTACTGGACGAATAATATTTAATGTTGCTATCAGCTTTTGTTAGGTTTTTATGAATTCCTAGACATTTCAATCTTCAATTGTGTAGAAAATTTTGATGGATAGAGGATTCCATTTAGAAATCTATGTGGGAAACAGTTAAGAGGTTAAATCCAGAGACCATAGGTGAAAGATGGTGGAGAATAATTTTATCATACCTCTGCTTGCCCGAAGGTAGGATGTATTGGACTCTGAAACAGCAGAAGAATTGGGCCGAGGTGGGTCTAGTGGGTGAGTCTGTCTAGCCCAACTGCAAAAAACAGCTATTCTTCAACAACATGTTACATTTCATGGTGTTCACCATATTATTGTAGTGGCATCTGGGTACAATGAGACGTTTTTTTTAAAGCATTTTTGAATAATCCTTGAACGGTAGATTTGTTTTGACTATGGACTACCGTTTAAGTAATATTTTGGATATTAACTTACTGTTATTGGTATTTGAATTGCTTACATGCCAAGTAATTTACCTTGACAGCATCTGCTTGGCCATATATGTTTATGCCCAGATCTTGCGAACAGAATTCAGATTGGTGCAAATAGTTTTTAGTTGCACTCAACTTTCATAAAGGAAATCGAATTACAAATGATAGTTAACTTCACTAGTCCCTTTTTCCTAGTGTTCTTTTGTAAATGTCTTGTTATTAAAACTCATTCCAAACCACTTCGTTTTTCATGAGAACTGAACTTTGAATTGTACATATCAGCCTGAACCAAAGTATAAAAAGCCTTAGTCCGCTAAGTTTTTTGATTGGCTTGATTAACTTAGTTTGGTTGGTTTGCAGCTTTTTTTGGCATTGATTTCAGTTTGTATTTCGGAAAGGATCATTATCATGTTTAAAATGGGACTTCATTTATTTCTGATATCTCAGTAGATTGTCATTTTTTATTTATAGCTCTAAATGTTGTCATTGAGATCATTTTAGCTTCAGAGGTTGTTGACAATATTTATTGTTTCTGTGTTCTCATATGAGATTGTGTTTTGAGCAATTCTTGTCCTGGGTTTGGATAACATTGATGAATATTTAATTCGTTAGGATTACTGTATCGTTCCAACTTTGTTTCCTTTTCTCAGAGGGAGCTTGTACCGGATTCTTCATCGTTCTAACTCCCATATTGATGAGAAACGTCGGATTAAAATGGCTCTTGATGTGGTACGAATGATAATGTGCGAAGAAATTGTTATCTAAAGTACAGAGACTCAGAGTTTCTCTAGCTGATAATACTTTTTTTTTCATAGGCTATGGGTATGAATTGTTTGCATGCCAGTGCTCCAACGATTGTACACCGAGATCTAAAATCACCAAATTTGTTGGTTGATATGGATTGGAACGTAAAGGTACATTTCACCGTGTTGTTTGTACATAGATCCAATTTCTACTCTGCGAACTATTGCTTAGTGTGCAATAGAGTTAATGGTCACTTCATTTTCCTATCAGTTGTTTCCCTCTTTTGTTGTGCTATTCTGTGAGCTCATGCTTCGTCCTTAGCATCATGATGCCATCTGCTATCATTACTACATAGTTTTCAATTTGTCAAAGAGTGGAAAAGTTTGGGATTAATGTTCCCGTAAATGCAACAGTGGCTAATTTTTCTTCTGCCATTTCTCATTGCTTTCACGTTATTTTCTAATGATAAAAAAGGTAATATCAAAACTACACTAGTATTTGTCCTCTTATTTACTGACTATTTGTATTTGGTTGTTGGTCTTGTTTATATGGTTGAAGTCAGATTTTTGTGATCTATATATAAAAGTGACATTTTTTAGTGAGGGATGAATTGTTCTAGTGCGAAGAATGATTGTATCTTTGAGTTGTGCAGGTTGGCGATTTTGGACTTTCACGCTTGAAGCATAATACCTTCTTATCATCAAAATCTACTGGGGGAACGGTAAGAAGCAACACCCTGCATGGAATCTGCGAATGATAGTTTCAATCTGGATTTCTTACCTATTTTGTGCAAAAAAAAAAAAAAACAAGGTTCTGATCTGGATTTAGCTACAAAAATAATCTCTTATGCTAGTTTTCCTATTAAATCTAATATTTGGGTGAAATAGATTATTTGACTTGATTTATTTCTGAAATCTGAATGAGTTTTGTTTGGTGCATTAGCCAGAGTGGATGGCACCCGAAGTCCTGCGCAATGAGCCATCAAATGAAAAGTAAGCTTGACCTTGATATTGGCATAAACTATAATTTACCCACTGTACCTATTTTCTGACCTTTGGTTCCGCTCTGTTAAGAAGAAAAGGAGGACATATATGCCTTTTCTTCAATCTTTAATTACATATTCTATTTTCTCACAGACAGCCCTTGTACTAGTATTTTTTTATCCTGGAACCATTTTATGGTTTGCCTCATTCAGAAAAATATTGGGAGAGGCCGACTAACCTGTCCCTTCTTCTTGGCATTTGTGTTGACGGATCAAGAAAGAATTGCTACAGAAAAGTAGGAGGGAGAAAGTTTTGGATACTGAGACTTGTTCCAACATCAGGAGCAGGAGGCCCACTAAGCCCTCATTCTCTCTCCTTTTTCTTTATTTGTGTGCTGCTGGAGCTGTATATAAGGGAACTTGTTGGCTCCCTTTTTTTCTCTCCCTGCACATGTGCTGTCCACAGGTCTGTGGTTCATTCGCGTGGGTGGAAGAGGACCAGGCCGGTCTTTTTCTTCTTAGTTACATATCCATAAGTTGGAGATCTAAGGCCTTTTCAACGCCCTATCTATGGTTGACTCTTTCACCTATTTTTCTGGCTTGACTTTCAGGAGTCTTACGTCTGACATTTTGACGACAGCCTCTAGGAGCAGCAAGTCCATTACTTGTACCAACCCATCAAAGAATATTGGAAATATCTTAGATTGGCTGGTGATCTTCCTTACCAGTCCATTACCGGACCAAATATTGGATATCTTATGAATGTGGTTAGATGTTGGCTTTAGAGTGGATTTTAACATATTTTAAATCTATTCCAAGCAAATGATTTTTTTTTTTTCTCTGAGCATGGCCATCTCGAAGTGGAAGAATGCATATATGCTGTGTATTCAGGATCCGAAGATGGTGAGAGATCTGCTTCAGGCTGTTGCACATTTGTAGGAAGGTATCTTTTTACTTGGTAAACTAGGAAACAAACTGAATGCCCCAAATCAAGCACGGAGGAAGAGCACCATGCGACGACTCATGGGGTTTCTATTCACCAAGGGTCCTGTAGGATTGGAGTTAGAAAGCTGCCTTAAATGGAGTTATACTGCGAGGCATCCATCAGTATGGCTGATGGTTTAGGGCGGTGGCAGGATTGGACTAAAACATGTAGATATTGACTACCACTTCCTTGTGAATTGTGTCCACTGTGTATCCATTCCAATGATCAATGTGAAACCTGTGGTAATACGCAGCAGCATTCTTCTGGATTTCTGATCTGTCTGTCATATATCAGTCTTCATTTGTCTTCAAAGCTCCTCTTAGTGGTTAAGAAGCCACTTCTGACTTATCTCTGCGTCTCTTCTCATTCTTTTCATGAGGGAGACAGAGACAAAAAAAAGAAAAAGAAAACTAGAAGTAGAGAGACACCAATTCTTATTTATTTATTTATTTTATGAAATCTCATAGGATTTTGTGCGTTGAAAATTTTCCACAGGTGCGACGTCTACAGCTTTGGGGTTATTCTGTGGGAGCTGGCGACGATGAGGATGCCCTGGAGCGGGATGAACCCCATGCAGGTGGTAGGGGCCGTGGGCTTCCAGAATCGGCGCCTTGATATCCCCAAAGAGGTCGATTCCCTGGTTGAGCGGATCATCTGGCAGTGTTGGCAGACGTAAGCACCCACCCTCACAACCCACACCATCCTCCTATCCATAAACATAAACATAAACATGACAAGAAATCCAATGGGTCGAAAAAAAAAGAGAGGAAATTTTCAACACACAGACATAGAACATCAGACATAAATCCAAGATATATGGAAAGCTGCATACCCCCCCGCCCCCTAGATATCTGGAGTGCTTTTTTTTTAACTTTTTTTTTATTTTTTGGGTTTCCTTCTAGAAAGGAGTTCACTGATAGATTGGCCGGATTTGACCTGGAAGATCCCTTTTCCTTGCGATTTTGGGTGTTTTATGACTACCCACTTCCTCAATTGGCAGAAATGGAATCGTCTAGATCAGACTATGTGTTCTATTTTTTTCCCCATTTTTAGAGAAATCCGTCCGCAGATAGATTATTTGGTCAGGATTGAACCGAAAAGCCAGATTTTTTGTTTTCTTTCGATTGCGTCAGAAATCTCCTCAACCCTATTTTTATTTTATTTTTAGAAATTTAATTGTTGGGTTGGCTCTCTCCTTGTGTTCGTTATTCCGCAGGGATCCGAGCCTGCGGCCGTCGTTTGCGCAGCTGACCTCATCACTGAAGCCCCTCAAGCGGCTCGTTGTCCCCCCTGACCAGGGACCCCAGGGCCCTCCCTACCCTCTACAGGTCTCGGTAAATTCTACAAATTCTACGCCTTGAAATCTTCCCAATTTGTGAACAAACCCTCAAAAAAACCAAAAAAAGGGGGGGAAGGCGAAAATAGTGGCCCCTCCCTTTTTTGTAGGTTTCATGTGAAAAAGGAGCGGGAGTGGGAGGTTTAGAAAGAAAAAAGAGAACTAGGAGGGGGGGAAAGAAAATTGTGAATGGCCCCCGGGTATTCTGCAATTGTGCATGGCCCCGCGTCGCTGCCCACAGAAGGCCAAAAAAAGTGCGCTGTGGTACGTCGACGTGTATAGAAGGCGTGCTGTATAGTTCTCCTCATTGTATAGTAATTACTCCTATCGGCTGGCTCTCTCTCGCTCTCTCTCTCTCTCTCTCTCTCTCTCTCTCTCTCGCTCTCTCTCTCCGCACTGTGTAGGAATTACTCCTATCAGCTGGCTCTTTCTCTCTCTCCTCATTGTATAGGAATTACTCCTAGCGGCTGGTTCCTTCTCTCTCCTTTATCTCTCTCTATCTCTTTCTATCTCTCTCTGTTTCTCTCTCCCCTCTATCTCTCTCTCGGTTTCTGCCCCCCTCTCTCTCTGTATCTCCGTTTCTCTCCCTCTCTCTCTCTCTATCTCTCTCTGAAGCCCTTTCACCCACCACCATCGACGACTAGATTCAAGGGGAAACAAGGCTCGTGCGCTACGCGTGGGACCCCGAGCTTCTTCCCGTCAACCATATTTCGTCAACGGACATAGTTCGTCCGATCGTGATGTGGGCCCCACAGATCGACGGTGGAGAAACGCGCGGGTTATCCCAGTCTCCCTCTTGGCGGGCCATAACCTTTTGGCCCGCTGCCTTCCCTTCTTCAGTTGACGTATTCGCCGAGCTCCCACGGCTCCCCTCGTTCAAGGGACCGGTGGCAGCGGCGGCGGCGGCTTCTATCACCATAGCGGTGCCCGGCGGCCGGCGGGGGCGAGAACCGGCGGCGCGTTGTGTCCTCCCGTTGCGTTTACTTCTTCTGGAGAAGGTACGCCTCTTGCGGATCGGGAACTGTCGTGATTCTGCGCATTCCCTAGCACAGAATCACTTCGCCGCTTGCTCTTGGCCCCTGGATGGGCATTTTGCTTGTCGAGGGCTCTTTGCTTCGATTTCGTTTCCGTGTGAACTGCGGGGGCCTCGATCTGCGTGGCGGAGGTGGGAACTGGTTGTCCGATTCGCTCCCTCGCACCTCTTTCCTTGATCCTGGCTGATGCTGGGGAGAGTCCTAATAGAGGTGCAGGAGTCAAGGGTGATTGAAACTATCGATCTCCCGTCGCAAAAATCTCACAATTCTGAAGCTCAGAATTCTCTTACTGTGCCCCGAGGTCCACTCGTCACCCCTAAATGCCACAGATCTTCTCAGTCATATTGCGATCGAGACGCATTTTGATTTTCCTTTGACATCGTTTGATCCAAAGACCCGTAGAAGGAAATGAGCGTCTTAGGTCCAACCACCGTCCTTCTCGAAGAATGAATCGCTTAATGTTGAACGAAGCAAGCGGCACACTGTACCTTACTTGGAATCGTCGGCCAAGAAACTTGAATTTGAACCGAATTCCCAGGGTCAGTTTGGATAAAGATGATGCTCCCAGATTTGGAACTTACAGTGCTTTTGAGAACCATACTTATTTGAAGGAAATTATTGCTATCTGGGGCTTTTCTATCTTACATCATGAATACGACTCTGCATCGAGTTTACTGTGATTCTGTTAATGTGACTCTGTCAATCATTGACGAAGAATATCTCTAGCACCAATTCGTGGAGGTTATAATGCGAGCTTGGTGGAAGAGGATTGGGGTAACCCAGGAGATGGTTTCGGGGATTGGAGCTTCATCTGCTTCAATGAGTATAGTTTTGTATTTAAATGTAATGTTTCATGTCGTCAAAACTACCGGCATGGTATAATTAAAGTTGCAACTGCATAGCTTTAACTCAATATGGATCCCTAATGTCTGTTGGCTTCATCCAATTGCAGAGTATTTCCACTTCTTTTTTTGATCTTGTTCTTCAAGTTACCTGCTCGTCATGACTTCTTCTGTGCTTTCTCATGGAATTAATTTTCTCTGTATGCTTTTATAAGTGCCATTAGATCGTGAGGAAATATGCTTACTAATTGAAAGAAGTGTAAAACGATCAAAATCATGCATCTGTGGATCATCCCTTTGCGGATCCAAAACCCTATCCAGGTCACTGCACATCCACGAAGGACTTTTCTTATTTGACTGAGTGTAGTAAAATCAAAGCCATGAAAATCCTAGGCTTTTAAAAGGTGGATGGGATCTAAGCCATCAGACTCATTGGATCGCCACAAATGTGCTAAACAGTTGTCACAGTGTAATGAGATCAAAAGAATGCAGGAAGCTTGCGTGAAGATTTTTTTCCCATGGCAGCTTCATTGGCTGTTGATAATTAGCACAAATTTTATGTAACATATGGGCAGAAAACGTTGATTCATCGTGATCCTTTTGGAAGCCTTGGATTATTCTGATTAAATTAAAATCATCATCATCATCTTCTTTCAAATCATTTTCTCTAGATTTCTGCAGAACCCATTGAATTATGAGACATCAGATACTAAAAGGAACTTCAATAATCTGTCCACATTTGTGTGCAGATATGGATATTCAGGAGGGCAGAAAATTGTTGCCTCTGCTCTTCCAAAAGGACAGTTTAGCCAACGTGATGTGGGCAGTTCTATACTGCAAGTTTCAGGGATCTTCTTCAAGAATGATATAAACTGATCATCAGTTTCAGACATGGCGGGATTGAAGTTTCCAAGGCGCTACTTCATTGTCTTCCTGACTTTCATCTGCACAAACGTCTGCTACATTGAGCGGGTCGGCTTCTCCATTGCCTACACAGCTGCTGCTGATGCTGTCGGGGTGAGCCAGTCCAGCAAGGGCCTGATCCTCTCGGCCTTCTTCTATGGGTACGCTGTCTCGCAGGTGCCCGGAGGATGGGCGGCGCAGCTCATTGGTGGCCGGCGGGTCCTCCTCATGTCCTTCCTGCTCTGGTCCCTCACCTGCGCCCTCTTCCCACTGGACCCTGCAAGGGCCACCTTGCTTGCCTCTGCTCGCCTGCTCATCGGCATTGCACAGGGCTTCATCTTCCCTTCAATCCACACCGTACTGGCACAGTGGGTGCCTCCCCATGAGCGCTCCCGCTCAGTCTCCCTCACCATGTCCGGCATGTACCTTGGTGCGGCAGCGGGCATGCTGGTTCTCCCCAGCTTGGTGAAGCTCAGAGGTCCTCAGTCGGTGTTCATGGCAGAGGCCTCCTTGGGCTTCCTCTGGTCCCTACTCTGGTACAGATTCTCTACTGACCCTTCCACTCTGGACACCCTCAAGGCTAGCTCCGCTGGCTTCCTCCCCCTCTCCAAGCTCAAGGATGACAGCAGCCGGCGACAGGCAGCAGTGCCACCGGCATCATCAGTCGGAATTCCCTGGGGGAAGATCTTCCTCAGCCCAGCGATCTGGGCAATTGTGGTGAACAACTTCACCTTCCACTATGCTCTGTACGTGCTGATGAACTGGCTGCCGACCTACTTCGAGCAGGGCCTGGAGGTGAGCCTCCAGGAGATGGGGTCATCCAAGATGCTGCCTTACCTCAACATGTTCGTCTTCTCCAACCTGGGCGGATGGGCGGCGGACCACCTGATCACCCGGCGGGTACTCTCTGTGACCCGGACCCGGAAACTGCTGAACACGATGGGATTCGTCACCGCTGCTGCCGCACTGGTGGCGTTGCCATCATTTCGCAGTGCTGCCGGGGGGGTAGCCTGCTCTTCTGCCTCGCTGGGCTTCCTGGCCCTGGGGAGGGCGGGCTTCGCTGTGAACCATCTGGACGTCGCTCCGAGGTATGCGGGCATTGTCATGGGAGTGTCCAACACGGCTGGCACACTGGCTGGGATTATTGGCGTAGGCCTCACAGGGAGCATCCTGGAGGCGGCGAAGGGGGGCAGCGCCACTGGGGACCTATCCACCGCTGCTGCCTGGAGGCCCGTCTTCTTCGTCCCCGGCTATCTCTGCCTGTTCAGTGCCGCTTTCTTTCTCGTCTTCTCCACCGGCGAAAGGATCTTCGACTGAGGTGCATCCGCCCATCCATCTCTTCCCCTTTTTGTCTTGATCGATTTCATTCCCCTTAGATATTATGAGGTATTGAATGGAGGAGGGTGGAGGGGAGATCTTGCACGATCATAGGTAGATACGACGGAGAGTAGAAGTTCCCGAGGACAGACGTTGAGGAATGGGATGATGGTCGCCTGTGATGTCCCGCTTTCTTCCACTAATCCAGTTTTGATTCTGACAACCATTCTGAGAAATGGCGTCATGGGTGACGTCATGTGATATGTTCAATTTTTCTCAATTTTCTAGTCGTGAATTTTACTTGTTCTGGTCAGAAAATGAGATTTTCCATCTCGGTTTGTGTGTGCGTGTCTTTGTGTGTGTGTGTGTGTGAGAGAGAGAGAGAGAGAGAGAGAGAGAGAGAGAGAAAGACTTCTAAGGGTTCTGCATTTGGGTCTGGTTGCTAAACTAGAAAGTTGTCAGGTCAGTTGAGATGACTCATTTGGAAACAAAAGGTTGTCTTTTATTTCATGATTAAAAAGCCAAATGATTTTGGTGCATCTAAAGTGACCTTTTAATAACCGATTGATTCTAAAACCAGTTCTTACCTTTGTATTAAGTTGCAAAAGAAATTAATACTGCTAAACTGCTTTTTTTTTTTTGGCTCCCTTGATGAAATTGAATTTAACCATGTTACATTGTGAACCAATTAAGGAAATTTGAGACAAGCTGAGGGTTCTTATGATGAACATCTCAAGTGGAGTCCAAGGTTGATTAACTGGTTTTCACCTATGAATTGATTTCATGCAGCTAAACTGGTCAATCAATGCAGACTAGAGGACAGCTAAGGTAGCCTAGAGAGGGGGTGAATAGGCTTATTGCGTTTTTCTACATAATTCTGATTTCTTATTCCATGTAATCTTCAATATTTTTTAACTTTCTGGACTAATAAAAGACATGTTTTCGTCATCTATATGAGAATCTAGTGAAATTAAGTTGAAGACAAGTTTCTTAATAATATACAAAAGTGCATAGTAATATAAGTAGATAATGCAATTGTGAGATTAGATTGTATGTTCTTATGGTGTTTAGTCCATAAATATAGTTGAAAATATTTTAGCTATAGAAAACAACATAAAAATATATTTGCATATAGATCTAGAGCAGCTTAATGCATCCTACATCCAGTATCTTAAGAGCTGTGCTCTTATGGCCTTACCATCAATTAGAGTTGACCATGTCTCCCCAACAAATATTTTTCAATACATTGGAAATATTAGTTGACAAACTTACTTGCAAAAGAAGGTCCACATTTATATATAAATTCCTGTATCAATTCTAGGGCATGCAAAATACTAATTCATTTCTGTTTCTCAACTCTTTTCTTAGCTCTCAGAGACCCAGGTGGGAGAAACTGTCTTGTTGATCTATGATGAGATAGAGAGCATGATTTGATGTTTATACCTAGGTCAAATGTGTCAATGCTTAACACAAAATATCAAATACATTTCACGATTGTTATTACCCTCTAAGATGTGGACCTTTTTTGGATGAATTGGATGAAGGGCAAAATGCTCTATATATATATCTCAAATGATTAAATAGTTTTTTAAATGCAAATTTCAGTGACAAATATAATATGCATACACTAGTCTAAAAGATTATTGAACAAAGAACATGAGGCAGTAAATGACAGATCAAACTGCAAGGATTTCGATTTTTTTATTAATATTATAAGGTTTAAAAATATTTTATAAAGCTTAAATTTTGGACGCAGAAATGACAACTAGTCATTTTCCAACCATTGCAAATGATCATTGGGTGGTCAAAACATATCACAAAAAGGGATGTTTTGGCCCACATTACAATTTAGTGAAAAGGGAAAAGAAAACGAGAGAGAGAGAGAGAGAGAGAGAGAGAGAGAGAGAAAGAGAGAGAGTGGGTGAGGGTGAGGGAGGGGTAGTGAGAGAGAGAGAGAGAGCTCACGCAGTGAGAGAGTCATAATGCGTATGCTTTACCCTTTGAGGAGCTCATGCAACAAACTACATTTACGAGTTCCTGAAAAAAGGAAACACTACCACTGCTAAGACTATCAAATACTCCACAGACTAGCCACTTCCACATCTTTTAGTGAAGGAAACCAAGCAGATGTTATGAATAAATTTTTAAGAATATTTATTTGTTCTTTATGTGAATCAATAAAAATAGTGTAAGCTAACTAAGGCCATTATGTTTACTGAAAAGTTGCTAAGGCTGTAGTGTTTAACGGTTAAGCTTGCTAAAACCTAACCCTAAAACCTCTAAAATATATTTCAAAAAGAGAAACTAAGAAGAGAGCATGTCAACTCAATGAATGTAGTGGAGAGAGAAAGTGTGTCGACATTGTGTGTAAGCCTCAACGAGCATTTGATCATAGCTAATTTTATTTTGTCATTTTATGATTTTTTTATCAGTAAGTAATCGAAAGCAATTCCAAATATTTTTCTCTCTCTCTATCCATATCTAAGGTAAGTAACTTTCATTATAATTACGTTTAATTACGTTATTGAGTAGTTGTGCTTTAATGGGGCCAGGCCGGCCTTCATACCCAAGGCTTTGTCTGGCCGTTGTATCATCCTCCACCTGACTTGCTCCAGGGGCCAACTGGCTTATGTGACCGAGAAGATGAGGCCGCCGGAGGTCACCCTCGGGCGTATGTAGCTCTCTGACGTTGACTGCCTTCTTATGTGGATGGGAGACGATAAGGTAGCCTACAACACCCACTGGGAGACCCTCAGTACACGGAAGGAAGCTGTGACAGACTTTAAGAGCACCATCCTCTCCCATCCTTGGTTTAGGGCCATCTGTGTCGGTGGCACACCCGTGGGTTTTATCTCCGGCAAGCTGAAGTCCGGAAGAAAAAGCTGCCGGGTATTGAAGAAACATTGTCAGGCAACAGCATGCACCAATGATCAATAGGGTGACTGCTGAGCCTCCTTCGGAACAGAGCAAACGCAAACCGACATCAATCAATAGGATTTGACATAATCAAACGAAGAAAGAAAAGAGGACACATCAGCATTAACCGAGAAGAAGAGTACTTGCTCAACGAAATTACATTGTTCCGAAGAGTAGTTACTAAATAATACACAACGACTATTTTAAATCACTAACAATATAAATAGACGATCATAGAAGCTGTAACTAATCAAGTTTTCTTTGATGATCAATAGAAGTTCTTTTTCTTTCTATCTTCTTCTTCTTCTTCTCCACTTTCTCTCCTTCTTGCTTTCTTCTATCGCTCTATTCTTGATTTCTTTCATGGTATCAGAGCCATAGCCCAACAGTGCTCAAAGACCTAACAATGAGGCTTCCATGATAAAGCACAGGTGATGAAACCGAAGGTGCTTCTAATGGTCAAATCATCCCTCACAGCATTACTGCGATTCAACAAGGGATTCCAGCATTATCAATTTCTCTCAAGCTAACAAGAGAGAATTTTCTATTGTGGAAGACACTACTTCCACTCTTACGAAGACATGATCTCATAGATGTTCTTGAAGATGATCCACCACTCATATCCAAGATCGATGGACATGGGAAGCATATTCCAAATCCAAAATATAAAACATGGTACAAAAAGGATCAAGCAGTTCTTACCCTGATTACTAACTCTTTATCTGAATCAGTATTGTATGATGTCGTCAATAAAGAGACATCAAAAGATGCCTGGGAAGCACTCAAGAAAAATCATGCAAGCAAATCAAGATCTCGTATCAATGGACTGCAAGAGAAACTCCACAATTCCAAGAAAGGTAATCTTCCTGTTGAAAAAGACACCTATATTAAGAACATTCAGAGTATAGGTGATGAATCGCAGGCCTGCGGGTATAAAATTGAAGATAAAGATCTTGCATATGCCCTTCTAAATGGATTGGGACCTCAGTACAATTTATTCTATGCAAGTATCAGTCCACAGTTAGACAGTCTGGAGCTCGATGATGTAATCTCCAATTTGAAATCATATGATCTGCATATTTCTAAAAAAATACAAGAAAAGTCTATTGGAGATTTCCCACCAACAACAAATCTTACAAATGCAATAGGGAAACAATATCAAGGACAGAAAAACTCTGGAAATATTCAAAACCGTGGAAAAAATAATCAGCAAGGCCACAAATATACTCTGAAATGCCAAGTTTGCTTTAAATTCGGACATAGAGCATTTGACTACAAGGAAAGATTCAACAGAAACTTTCAGCCTCCACAACAGAATAACAGTTAGACATGGAATTCAAATCAACCTCAAGTGTTTACAGCCCATACAGGAGAAAATTTTAATTCAACAAATAACTGGTATCCAGACAGTAGTGCATCTCACGATGTCACTGCAAATCAAGGAAACATTCAAAACTCAACTGTCTACAATTGGGCAGATCAGCTTTATATAGCTAATGGACAAGGTTTGCCAATCCATTCTCAAGGATGATCAACTATTAACACTAAATATCGTCCATTACAACTTAAGGATATATTACATGTACTACAAATTAAAAAAAATCTTCTATCAGTTCAAAAATTTGCTCGAGACAACAATATATTTTTTGAATTTCATGCTGATTTTTGTGTTGTGAAGAACCAGAAAACAAAGCGAATCTTCCTCAGGGGAACTAGTGATGACGGTCTCTATTGTCTACAATTGCTACAAGCTCCAGTTACATTATTTGGAGAAAAATCATCTCCTTTGATATGGCGTAATAGATTAGGACCTTCTCAGTTTTGAATTTTAAAACAAGTTATAGACAAATATAGTTTGCTAGTCACTCATAGAACTCATAATTTTGTTTGTGATGTATGTAGATTGGCAAAATCACATAAACTCTCTTTTACACTTTCATTACATAAAACCACCAAACCTCTTGAATTGATACATTGTGATGTTTGGGGGCTTGCCACTATTCTTTCTCATTTTGGCTATCTCTATTATGTGATTTTTGTTGATGATTTCAGTAAGTATACATGGCTATTTCCCATGAAAAAGA